TGGAAGTATGCGTCTTTCAGGTCGATTGACGTGAACCAATCCCCGGGGTGCACATATTCCAGGACTTGTCTCATCGTTAACATGCGGAAATGCATTACTGCTATGGAGCAGTTGAACAGGGGCAGGTCGAGAATCGGCCTCATTCCTCCCGACTTCTTCGGTACTACGAAGTAGCGGGAGTAGAAACCCGAGAGTTCTTGTCCGCGAGGGACTCGGGAAATAGCGTCTTTGGGCAGAAGTTCCCGCAGCTCCAGCTCTAGCGCCTGAGACTGTACTTGCGATGTGAACGTCGTCTCCACGATCCCGTTGAAGGGAGGTGGAGTGGCCTGAAAATGAAGTGTGTGACCGCAATGAATGGTGTCCGAAATCCATTTGCTCATGATGCAAAGGCGGCGCCACTCGTGCGCGCGTTCCGACAATGGACGCGTGTGCGCGGTCACGTGAACAACGTCTGAGGGTTGTGCATGCGCCCTTACCGCCGTCGCCCGTACCAGAGAACTGGGGGCGACCCATGGAGGGCTGCGCTCGAAAGGGCAAGTGCGAAACAGCTGGAACAGGCTGGTCCACACCGCGGAGCGTGGAGTCCGAGAGTGAAGGACGAGTGGGAGCCGGGCCTGTGCACGGGGGCGACAGAGTGCTAGCGGATGGAGCCGCGCACTGTGCCGCCGCGCGTGGTCGAGACAGCGACATGACATCCCGCCCCACCCAACGGCGTGGGGAGAGTGGGACGAGTTGGGCCTGGCCGGATGCTGGGGCCAGAGCGCAAATGGAGCGCACCCTTACGGCTGGCCGTGTATTATGACTACCTGCAGGAACATGTTTGCGTGCAGCAGTGCTTGGTGTTGGGAACATGTGTGAAAACTCGGCAGAGGATTCTGCGGAGGACTGTAGGATTGAGCTCTTTGAGTGACGTTTTTTGGGTTTTATTTCAAAACCAACAACATCAGAACAATCAGTAACACACACATTCCCCCCAAAGAGTCACTTCTGTGGCTGCTTTCGGCGAGGCTCCTGCACCTGGGACTGCCAAGACGGCGTCTGCTGGCCCCGCCGGAACCGTTGTCCGCCATCTCGCTGGTCCCGCTGATGTGGAGCCGAAGCGGGAGGCCGGCTCCGTGGAGCGGGCGGTGCAGCTGGACGTCTGAAGCTTCCGCGCCGTTCGTCCCATCCTCTGGCTGAACGGCCGGAGTGCGAGGCTGACCGAGGGTGGACCAGGTCTCGCACCGTAGCCGATAGTTCGGCCGTCTTCTGAGCCCTCTCAATGACGCCCCTAAGATGGGGACCAAACAGAACATCGGTGGTGATGGGGCCATCCAGCATCTCCCTTTGCAGATGTTCCGGAATGGAGGGCAGGGCCTTCAGCCAGATCGCTCGCTGGATGAGGGTCTGCCAGGCAGCGATGCGAGCAGAACCGGTGAGCACAGCAGCACACAGATTGAGGATGGCATCAGCAGTCTTAGTTATGACGGCTTTCGACTCCTCGGGAGCTTCCAGCTCCTCCATCATCTTGGAGACGCCGAAGGCAAGAAGGGCGATGTTATTCCCTGCAGCGCCGGTCTGAAAGGCACACTGATGTGCGCGGTCGGTGAGCCGCGTCAGCAGCTGGTCATGTTTTGAAGCGGGAACAGCTCGCGGGCCAGCGAGGTGGTTCTTGGCGCCGAACAGCGAGGCCAAATCCGGCTCTAGTGGAGGAACGGACGGCCAGCCTTGGTCGGAAAACCCCTCGACCTTGGTGATGGGCGCATATGTGGAGACTGGCGCCTTGAGCTTGGCAGGCTCGGAGAAGGCGGCAGACCAGCAGCTCATAGCAGCGGGGAAGCGCGGCCAGACAGGGTCTGGACAGCGTGTCTGAGTTGCCCCGAAAATTCCCGCCAAATCATCCGCTTCAGGCAGGGCCGGTTCTGGCACAGCTAGCCCCTTGCGGGCTGCTGATGCAGAAATGATGGCGGGCAGCTCCTGGAGCAGTGCTCTTACTGCTGGCAGGGAGGAGCGAGAAGCCACTGGGGCAGAAGGACCCGCTGAGCGAAGCTCGTCGACCTCCGTTATGTCTAGGAGGGACGCCGCCTCATCGTAGTTTTCGCTGTCAGTGACGTCATCCAGCCGGTTGAAGCCAGCCGGCTCCTGACCGGCGTCGAAGAAAACCAAAGCCTTGTCCAGCGGGTAGGAGTCAGCCACCGGAAATTCTTCGTCGGCGGCGGGAGTGAAGTACTCGACCCGGCGAATCTTCTCCGCCACGGGCAGAGCGGCACAGAACGGGCACGAGGCCTGCGGGGTCAAGGCCAGGCCAGCGTGGTGAGCCCCGAGACAGACCTCACACTTAGCGTGCAGGTCGCCGCTGGAAATGGAGCCCGTCTGGCAGGTCGGGCAGGGTCTGGTGTCGCTGGACATGGCTGGTAAGTCGTCTTCGGATAATTTGCTCTTTTGAGATAATATTTGCTCTTTAATAAAGCTCTCAAGCTTGGCATGAAGAGAAAAAGGAGGTGAGCAGTGGGGTCACTGCGGTTATATACCACGAGGGGGCCCACTATTGGTGGGCGTACATTTAAGCTCTTCATGATTGGCTGATGCGGAGATCATCCTTCCAATAGCAGCTAGCTTAAGGGCTAAGACTAGACGAAATAGAACCAAAGCTTTAAGCCATGCACGGTTCCAGAGACTGCTTGCATCATTGCTGCCTCTGTAGATGTGCAGAGAAACTCATGGGTCTCACACTTGCAATTATAAGCCAAAATAAACTAATCTTGTCTGTTATTTCTGTCCAAACCAACCACCTAATGAGTATTTAACATTAATTATGAAGTGTTGCTGCAATGCTCAATATGAGCAAAAATGTATTTTAAACATTTACTGCATCATTGTATTAATGCCGTAAAACTATAACCTTATAAATCACCATAAATTGGGCACTTTAAACTGAGATGAACATGGCTCTTGTGATATATTGTCAGGATGGAGCATTAAAAGGTTACAAACATTCTCCCACTTTAATATGAAGTTCTTAAAAGGAGTCCTTTAAATGTGGCATGCTCTGTTTTCCTTCCCTCCTTTTTTACATAATGGCCCATAAAAATGAGATATTGTAAATCAAAGAGGCAGAGTTTGTGTGGCAAATGCATTTGTCATTTGTGATTAGGAGGCAAATGGTGAATAAATGAGAAAAAAAGAAACACAAATATCCAAAGACCTGCTTGTGGGACTCCCTTAAAAATGATACACGGAGAACAGAGGAAGAAAATTGAGTGAAAGAGTTTTCTAATGAAGTGAGTTGGAGCACTTTTGGCTTAGTTGGGATCGAGCTACTCTAGCTTCTTTCCCAAGGCGACCACCAAGTCCAGATTTCTTCTCGGTGTGCTGCACAGCTTGCAGAGCTGCCAGCGGTGTGACTGAACAATGTGCATCCATACACGGGTCCCTGACCTGTTACCAGTGTACAAAAAACTGTTTTTCTATGTAGTTTAGAAAAACAAGTGGAAAAGTTATTTATTGTTTAAAACTGTAAGGAATCTGCAAACTTAAAAACTGACTCTCATTTAAAAGATTTTCCCTCAATTTACACAGTGATGAACAGTTTTAATATTTTATTAAGATCTAATGCGAGTCAGAGAAGAGGCATTTATCATCAAAGAGTGGATGACTAAATAAAATGTAATGATGTAATGTTCAGAAAACATACATTTGAAAGGGTTGGGAGCTCAATTTAACTGTATTCGTTGTTATTAAAGAGGAAGGATTTAGACCCTGTACACATGTAGCTGGGTATCCCACATGGTTTTGTCTTTTATCCACGTGAAAGTGAAGATGAACAGCATCAACATTGATGCTTTCAAAAATTCTTACCAAGTTGTAGAATAGCAAATTCTCTGATGTCGGCAGTTGCTTGTCGACGTAAATAACCAGGATTTTAGGTTTCGGACAGCATTAAGGGTGCTGCCTGCCACCCAGTTATTCCATGTCCAAGGAATGTTTTTTTAGCGAAGACATGACGTTTGGGGAACTACTGCCACCTACAGGCCATGCAGGATTTTTGTTGAAAACAAGGTTGTGTGGAACCAAGTTTTTTCCTAGATGGAAGGGGGAGGATTTGGGTTTTACAAAAACTCGACTGCGTGTGTAAATGGCATTCATTCTGAAGCTGTCGCAAATTTAAAACTTTATAGTGATGTGTATTTTCCATGGAGATGGGGGAAGTACACACCTACATCACTGCTAGCAAACATTATTTTTGTGTTTGAGTGAGACCTTGCCAACAGAAGGCCATTGGGGTCAAAAATCCCTGTGAGTGCAATTTTCAAATGAGTTTGTCAGATTATTCAACAAACACATCAAACTCCCTTTCACCACAGGCAAAAAGCGAAGAGGTAAATGTGTAAAAAAAATGTTTCTGAATGGTGAGAGTTATGACTGATGTCAATTTGTTGTTGTTACTATTGTTGTTAGCCTCAAGGGCAAAATGCCGATTATCACTTGTAAGTCGCTTTGGACAAAAGCGTCTGTTAAATACATAAACATAAACATGTAACCGCTTGTTACAAATCAGTAAATGCATTTTGTCCTCACGGGCTCCCGTAGAAGGAAACGTGACGTCTAATATGGCGTCGCCAGAGACTGACCTGCTCCTATGTAATTTAGACCCAATTTTTATGGTTATATGTTACAAAGCTGCCAATATTTTTCAACAACTGGGCATCATTTAATTCACTTTCAACATTTTGATGGATATTTCTAGAGATTAATGGTAAAAAAATACAAATTGTCCATGTAAGATAAACGGTTTAGACCTTTTAGTGTCATGATTTTTTTGTTTTCTTTTTCAAGGTTCAACTTTCTTTATACACGTACCTATCTGCTGAGTTCATTGGTACAGCAACCATCTACAGCGCAATTCGTCGAGTTGGCACAGTCCTTCAGCTGATGCATATGCTCAAGTACTACTACTGGGCCATCAACCCTGCAGACAACAGCGGCATCAGTCCAAAGGGTGTAGGTGGGTACATAATAAGTTCGGAATGCCGTTCTGCCCATGTGGGGCTAAATATGACTAAATCATAGCTGAAAACATAATTTGATTTTGGTCATTGTTCATCTAAACTGTTTCTCACCCATCTGGGAATGGAAGCTTGTGTTTTAGGAGTTAACCAATCACAAACATCATGTCCAATCACAAGCCTGCTGCCTGACTGAAAGGACAGCGGCTCCACCATATTTTAAATGAGTCATCTCTGCTCGTCTGTCAGCTGTTGGTGCTGTTGCCATCCCATGAGACTGCGGAGAGGCAGATGCATCATATCAATATTGTCATCCCACTAGGGCGCTTGGTGTGGGTGTTAAGTCTATAAAACCCAGTCCAGCAGAATGACGGGCACACTCAGTCTGCGAAACAGCACATCACCAAGCAGGCTGTAAAGGAGACAAGGCGTCCTTGAACTGTCCTTTCCTTCTCTGCCATCCATTTTTCTGAGACTACCCACATGGTAATATAATGTTTTATATTGTTTAGAGAGCCCCATCTATGCAGCACTGAGGCCCAATAAAAAATTCTTGCTTGGTAGCGTTGAAGTAATGCTCCTCACACAATCGGAGATAATTTAATCCTTAATGTTTTATCTTTGGCTATTCGTGCATTTTTTAAATGTTGAATTTTGCATGTTTAAATACCAGGAGTTGAGAAGTAATCACCTGTCCGTGTCAGAACTGGATGAATATTCCTATTGAGATATATTGCATCATTATATCATTGCACCATTTTAGCCTCTATAACCTGCAGTCCTGATGCAGTTTAGCAGCAAGTGGCCATAATGGACTGCCATCTCATAATTGAAGTCATTTCTATAGTACTGTAGAAATGTGTTACCTCCCTTCCAAAAAGTCTTAGTTTGTTGTTTGCAACACCTACTGGTTTTATATTAGGAAACAGAATTCAGTATTGGACAAAAACAACTTGAGTGAATATAAAAGGCAGTTTGCAAAAGATGATTTTCTTAAAGATCTCATTCACTGAGAAACTGTTCACTCTGAACATGAACATAGTTTTCATCTCACATCTCCTGCATTTGACGCTGAAAGGAAATGGGTGAAATGGTAAATGGTCTGTATTTGATATAGTGCCTTCTGGAGTCCCAGAAACACCCCAGTGTCATTCACACGCAAAAAAATCCAGTCAGTTCTACATCAAAGGGAAAATTAGCATTCATGTTCCCGCCCACCTTAGCTTGGGCCCAACTATAGAAGGCTGTGTTTATTTTGCAGCCAGGAGAGAGCAGAGCGTGTCTTGGCTAGTAGAAGCTTTCCATTAGAATTAGCAACTCCACCACATGGCAGAACACCTTCAGGCATGTGATATTTGTGGAAATAAAACATCAAAGTTGCATTTTCTTAAACAAGAAAAAAAAAAGCAAACTAGGATGGTGGAATAGTCATGTTGACATCAGCTAATTGGAGGCAGGTGATTTGCATAAGAATATTAGAGTAAGACTCCCCCGCCCTCATTCTTCCAACAAACTTCTACCCCTGAAACAGGAGGACTGGAGCTTTTTCCCATAGAAAACGACTCACAAGGCTCTCACTCATTCTAGAGACCACAGCAAATGTATCTAAAAATTGAGTGAATGAGGCCTTTTAGGACAAAGGCTATTCAAACCAACTTTACCATATGTGGAAAAATGATAGAAAAGCAAAAGTGGAAAAATGTCCATCATTAGAGAGTTCCAAGGCCCAAACCTCAGCCAATCCAAAATAACACAAAGGCCCATTTTACATTTGCCAAGAATTTGTGGGAATATTCTGTGAACTGCTGTACAACTAACATCTTATCAACAGGGACACATGGTGGTGGTATTGTGATGATTTGGGGCCTCTGTACTCGGTGGCGTGTCCAGATCTTTTAAAATGGGGTGGTCCAGGTGAGGCACAACTTTGAGCATGGGTGGCATCAATGGTTATGCTTTTTTTGTTTTACCCCCAAGCCTTTTGTGGACAATGAAAAGCCTATTTAAAGGTAAATTAGTGTGGTGGCACCTGGGGTGGCCAATCAGATTCCAAGGGTGGCATGTGCCACCCCAGGCCACTCCCTGGACACGCCCCTGGCTGTACTGCTTCAGGACCATTCTCTTTCTTTTCATGGTCCTAAATATTTCTGTAAGCTTTTTGTGTGCATGATACTTCGTCTACTTATCCACTCATTTTCCAACGTATTTAGTGGGTAACTAAAAATGTGAGATGTTAATCTGGACCTGTTACAGAAATAGAATCAATGATTGAGCTGGTATCGTTAATATTTTCCAAGTTTAGAGAATAATCTTGAATAGTTTAGTTAAATTTGAAGTGGTTGGGATGATGTGCATATTATACTTGCACTGAATTATGGCACATCTGTAAACCATAATTTCCCATTTAGTTTTCCCATTAAGTGTTCTCCAAACGTACACTCTCAAATAAAAGACCAATTACGGTGCTGATTTTAAAGGAATGGCATCATGGAACGGATCACCTTCTTGCTGTGCGTTATTTTCCAGCAGCCTGATTTGATTTATCTTAACTTGATTTGGCATCTCCCTCATCCTCTTTGTTCTTCCAAACGGAGGAATGACCAAACAAACGCACATGCAAAGAGGGAGAGAGCCAAACAGATAATGAAGTGTTGAAATATAGGACACAGAAAGGACATTTAAAACACATTTCTTTCCAGAAGTGTATCATCTGTTTTTTTTTTTGTCTGCAAGTCTTAATGGAAAGTGCTTTCAAATTAAAGTCATGTATCATTCAGTTCTAATACATTATCGGTCCTGACACTTGTGGGCAGATACTCATCACTCAATTTCTCTTAAAATGTGACATGTATCCACAGCCGAGGCGTAATCTGTCTCAATCCCTTTCACTCACCTTTTGTCTCAGTCTCTTCCTTGGCTTTGCTTGACTGAATAATTCTTGATGAGACGGGCTGCAGCATCAGGACCACATCACATTCCGTTCATGCTGGTTTTTGTTCATCCCTGTGATAGATGTGAGAAAACTCTGCTTTAGAGGTTTTAAGTTTGGAGTTTATTTCTTATTGTTTGAAAAGTGAATGTGAAAGAAACACCAATTCATTTCCAAATGGTGTTTCTTTTTGGTCATTGTTGGGTTAAAGGTGTGGTTCACTCATTCAGCCAATACATTTTCAGTGGTCTCTAGTAGGAATTAATGTCTTGTAAGTTGTTCTGGGGGGGGAAACATACCGGTGCACTATTTCCAGGATCTAGTAGTGACTTGCATCACAGCTGAGCTTCAGACGGCAGGTTTTGGAGTGTTATTTCCTGATATTTAGACATCTCACCTTGGATTGGATAACAGCAACACAAGCACACAAATTGTCACACCCTGTCCTGTCTCCCTATTCTGTTCAGTCCTGTGTTCATGTTAATTGCTCCCACCTGACTCTCGTCTCCCAATCACCCAAGGTCCCAGCTCCTCCTGTATTTAAACCTTGTTAGTCCATTTTGTCTGGTTGGTTCATTGTTTCATTGTCCTACGTGTCCCTGAATAAATCCGTGTTTTAAACGTTCCTGTCTGCCTACCTGCCTGCTTCTTCACCCGCGTGTGGATCCACACCTCCGCTTCGCTCACCGGCACGTTTGTGACACAAATAACACAAGACAGGAGGAGCTTGTGCTTTGTGGTGAGTAGGGTTGGGCATCGTTTGATTTTGAATGATTCCAATTCCAATTCCTCGTTTCGATTCCGGTTCCTATCGATTCCCGATTCAGATTCTTTCAAGACATGGCATGTTTAACATGAGCCAGCTAACCACAGGTCCTACTTGATGAAATAATCTTAACTTCAACATGAATTTTAATTCTATGAACAATAAATTCACCTTCATTTAGACTAAAACATGTTTTGGAGAAGAAAAAAAAAAGAAGCAAAAGACTTGCAGCACAACCAGTGTGTTTGTTTCTGACCACAACCAAAGTCTGGAAGAAGCCTCTGGCATGAGAGGCTAAATGTCTCCAACATATCCAGAAACGTCCAGCTGTTTTCCCACCTGCAGCCATTCAGGCAGAACAGGAAGTGAAACTTAAATGTAGCTGCTGTCAGTAACAATCTAACAGAGTTTAAACATTAAAACTGAACAGAAATAGTTGAGAAAGGAAGTTAAAAATGTTATATATTATTATTATAATTATTTATTGTAGCAGAAGCTGGTGTGGTCCACCACAGAGAAGCTTCAGCCCTCTCATTCACACACACACACACGCACACACACACACGCACGCACGCACGCACGCACGCACACACGCACGCACACACACACACACACACACACACACACACACACACACACACACACACGTTGGTGAGCGGCTGCATCTGACTGCTGACGCTCCGTGTGTGTTCTTATTTCTGCAGAGACAAACTCACCTCACACCATCCAGAGTTTGTTCTTTAAAGCTTCTATTAAATCCATCGTGTTGATGTATTTTAACAAGATTCCTCTACGGCGCATTTTTTGCTGCAGGAGTTAAACTTTACATTACAGAGTAAAAGTTCGGCAAACACGTTTTATATTTGGCAGCTGCGCGCCGGGTGGGGGAGGGGGACTCGGTGCTGCACACAGACAGCTGGTGTGATCAGCTCTAATCACAATTTGCAGATCACTTTTTTTTCAGAGATCGGCTGCGGATTCCTCTTCCGTCGGCATACCAGGAATCGAAATTGAAGAAAACTTTTTGAACGATTCCGGGGGAAACTAACAGTTGGAACTGGTTCCAATGGATGCTTGATGCCCAGCCCTAGTGGTGAGGTTTCTAATGCTAACGGTTAGCTTATACTAGTCAGGACATTCCCTGCTCTTTCCTGGATGCTAAAACAACAGCCTTCTCCACTCTGAGTTAAGATACGTGAGTCCATGAATGTTAAGTGACAGTGTGATATAGATCTGTGAGACTTTTCAAAGCCTAGAGTTTGACCATCTGTTTTCAATCAGAAGCTGATTCTGGAGGTAGGTGTAGGAGACTATTTTCATGCTCAGCTAGCATGAAAACTCAGTGACCAATTATAATCAGGGATGCTTATTAAAGAAATGGGTTTTTACTGTTCCACGCCTTTAAATAGATGAATCTTTACTCTGTGTTTGCCCGTGCGACAGTAAAAAACTGATTTTTATCTGCGTTCAGTCAAAGAACTCTGAGTTCACATGTAATAAATCTTGTTCGTTCATTGAATGGTTTATAAATGCATAAAGGATGTGTATTATTGTCTTTGTCTTGAGTTCATTATTATCATTTCTATGCTGCAATGAAATCCTTGCATGGACATAAATTGTTTTTCATTAAGCTCTTTCTCCTTGCGCCCTTGGGATGCAGGAATTAAAGCAGTCTGTGAATGAGAAACAAGAGCTGTGCAGAGTTGGTGAGCATAATTACTTGTGAATAACTTCGATGCAGTGGCCATGGTAATAATGTTCTTATCATCCCTTCATGTTAGGCTCTGTCCCAACGGTAGGTTTTCCTTTCTCCTGCTATTAATCAGTGTCGGGATGCAGGAGCACTTAGCTTCCCTCCTCCAACCTCTGGGAGCCTCGCCATTGATTACATTGAGCAGGTGTAGGAGCAGGATGGTCAGGTGTCAGCTGCCACTGTATCTGTCCTGGCTTCAAGTGAACATGTGTTCAGCGAAGGCGAAGGTTAGAGTTTATCAGTACAGTGGAGGAAAGGGAGGGGGCATTGGGCAAAGTGACCAATTTTCTCTGAATTGCTTTTGCAATAGCATTTGACCCAGTTACTGCCCTGTAACAGCCCCACGTCTGCTGGAGATTTTGTCAGTAGCCTAATATCTCGTTGTTGCACATCATGAATAAGGAATAAGTTAATATATGCCAGGATTTATAGCTGGAACAAAGGCTTTGTGTTTCAGTGAGAATCTGGCTAATCCTTTTAGAATTGGGTTGTATTGCTGGAAGAGGTAATGCATGCTGTATCCTGTATGTTTTGATGTGTAGAGCTGTTTTTCTCTATTCTATTGATCTATTGTAGCTGCGGCCCATTTGCTCTGTGTACATGAAAACAAGTTTTTATTAAAAAATTGAAATAAAAAGAAACGAATATGATCTGATGGGTAAAGAGTTCATTCTTGTGCCAAGCATGGTAGCAGAGCACAAACAACCCCTTGAAGTGTTGGATAATCAGCATGTTCTGTCATGATTTGGCATTCTTCATTTACACAAGATGCGTACACCTGCCAGCGCTACTCGGCTCATCAGATGTGTAAAGAGGCTTAGAACAGGAATGGATTTCAATCTGAGCTAACCTTCAGAAGGCCAAAGCGACCTTACACTGGCGGAAGAGTTCTGGATACTTTTAATGAGTGTTGGCTTGTGTGATGGGCAGGTGTGAGCAACCTTGGGCTGGTGGCCCAGGCAGGATGTTGTGGCCAAGGTTACCTGATTGGAACACAGCGTTTGGATGCAGCACAGATGATAAATGTACTTGGAAAGAAAGAGCCAAAAATCCTTATATTGCCTTAAATCATTATCTAATTATTAATGGAAACATTCTGGTCTGTTTACACATTGATGTAGCTGCCGTTAGACCTAGTAAAATATTGAATCTACGCACATCAGAGATGTTTTCTTTTAAAATGTTTTGTTTTAAGTCAACGTTTCCTCATAAACTCAAATTCAGATTGGAAGTAAGAGACTGCAAAACATATTGTTTCAATTTCTTTTTTTATTTGATTTTGTCTAACTACAGATGGTCCAAGGCCAACCCAGAAGGAAGTAGTTTCTCTGAGGGCGTTCATGCTTCTCTTCCTCAAGCAACTCATTCTGAAGGTTTGTCTTTTTGCATCAGTCTTCCACAAGCCTGCACTGATGAAATATGGAGATAGTCTCTGTTACCCTCTGAAAATGCTCAGCTATTTCATCAAAAAGATCTTTTTTATTTAGCTATTTGATCAAATGAAGTTACATATGAGTTAAGTGCACTTTGTGTTTGTTAACCCAGAGACTTGATTGCTTTTTAGTTGTTTACTAAAAGAGCAGATAATACCAAATTACGTAAATATTACATAGTTAAACCACAATGCACATCAAATTCTTTTAAATGATTATTTAGCCACATGTTGACACAAGCCTTCTTTGAAAGAATCAAAATTAGATTTATTTTAATATGATTTTAGTCTGATTTATTTAAAAAGGTTTTTGTCAAATGATTTGCATGCATCTTATATTTTTTGTAAAGTCCCACCCTCCAGTTCTCTGCCTTGTTCGCTATTTTATGTTTTCCCTCCCTACTTTTTGCCTTTTTAGGATCGAGGTGTGAAGGAGGATGAATTGCAGAGCATCCTGAACTATTTGCTAACAATGCAAGAGGTACCCGAGTCCTTCTGTGCTCCAATGGGAATTTACTCAGCCTTTTGTTATGCCACTCTCCTGCCCAAAGCTCCAGGGTCACAAACCCTCTTCAGAATTTTTTATTCTGTCAGCAGTTAAGTTTTTTCTACTACATGAATGAATATTTTGACTAGTTAACCATTGTTCATTTGCTGTTGGAATCGGTACCAAGGACTTCTGCAACTGCAGGTGATAAAATGTCCAATTCCCTTAACTCCTGGCCTTCTGTGAATACGGAAATGTCGTCATCCCCTGGACTTGTGTGGATAAGGGGATAGAAAAATGTTGCCCTGTTTAGAATAAGAAAAGTGGGGCCTATCTTTGGAGCTAAATCTGTGGGGTGCAGATCTCTCTTGAACACCTGGTGGTCATAGTAAGTGGTGGATTGTGGCCCACCGTGTGTTAAGTGGGATTTGATTAATTGCCTGACTGCTTAGAAAGAAGGAATGCAGTCTTTGGTTCTTCCTAGGAAAGAAGTCGCTTTAAACGAAACAAGCCCTTCATTTACCAAGATGGTGCCGCTTTACATTAGAATGAGTTGGAAACCTCAATGGGATAGCCTTTATGAAGTACTGCTGTTAAAATCAATTGAAATATATTCAGTGGATTTATTTATTTCCAAATAATCCATTTTCTCATTATTCCTATTGTAGTAAATCGTATAGTTTGCCTCTGGCTACTATTGCAACATCTGTAAAATCATATTGCCTCTAACATTATGCAGAAAACTGATATATTAAAAGCTGCAGCAATTTATTCTCTTACAGCAGTGTGCCCTCGTGTTGAGATTCATTAAAATTTGAGTTTTGAGGCCAGGACTTCAAGGCACCATACTACCATAGCAGTGAACCCTTTGTGATGTAGCTTTTAATATTCATTTTGTCTGTGTACCAACTTTGATTGATAATACATAATATACGACAGGATAAAACAAACACGATTAATCAAAAACTCACATTTTGCATTATTTTGTGCTGCCTTTCGGGGCCATAAACACTCCAAATGTGAATAAAACAAACGTACATCCGTTTTCTGTCAGTGTTTGGTTTTAACTCATTCACTGCCATTGACGACTAAAGTCGTCATTTTAGATCCAACCATTCACTAGAAATGTGCATTTTTTTACTGTTTGGGCATCGGAACGAGCTCCCGCACTGAGAGAACAAACATCTCAGCTCTGAAGCCGATCTTCATCCACATACGTCACATGATCAGGAAGCAGAACATCCATGTGTTAGGAGATCGTTTTGGGTCGTTCCTGTAGAAAAAGTGAGGCGTGAACTGGAAAAAGCGTCTTGCCGATCACAATTTGACAATGGATTATGAACGAACGGATGACGATCAAAACACACGGATTCTTCCTCATGTAAGAGGTGAGTCTCCACTTTGTTTTGGTTGTTTTGGCGTCGACATCATCCTAGCGCGCAACGTTTTGTGACTCTTAAAAAACAGTAAAAACTGAGAAACGCTGGCAGCGACAGGCCTTACCGATCAGGAAATGTCTGGCAGTGAATGAGTTAATTTGTCATGGATTTTATCAACATGTTTATTGATGACCCATTTCCTTAAGTGAGGAGAGAAGGAGACAATGAGCAGACAAGTTAAACAGTTATAACTGTGGCATAATGCACGAGGCAAAATGCCCCGAACATCTGGTCACGGAGAGAGAGAGAGAGAGAGAGAGGAGAGAGAGAGAGAGAGAGAGAGAGAGAGAGAGAGAGAGAGAGAGAGAGAGAGAGAGAGAGAGAGAGAGAGAGAGAGAGAGAGAGAGAGAGAGAGAGAGAGAGAGAGAGAGAGAGAGAGAGAGAGAGAGAGAGAGAGAGAGAGAGAGAGAGAGAGAGAGAGAGAGAGAGAGAGAGAGAGAGAGAGAGAGAGAGAGAGAGAGAGAGAGAGAAGAGAGAGAGAGAGAGAGAGAGAGAGAGAGAGAGAGAGAGAGAGAGAGAGAGAGAGAGAGAGAGAGAGAGAGAGAGAGAGAGAGAAATACATTTACATTCGGTTGATTGAGTCAATGATCAAGAATTAATAAACATAATTTTTCCATAACATAATCATGTGCCTAAAATGAGCCATGTCCCTGACTGTGATGTCACAAACTAGGAGAATGGAATAGAACAGGGGCGGGCAACTCCAGTCCTCGAGGGCCGGTATCCTCCATCTTTTTGTTATTTTCCCAGTTCCAACACAGTTGATTCAGCAGCTCATCAAGCTGCAGAAGCCAGCTAATCTCCTGCTGATTGAAATCAGGTGTGTTGAAACAGGGGAAACAGTAAAACATGTGGGATAATGGCCCTCGAGGACCAGGATTGCCCGCCCCTGGAATAGAACCACCTCTTACATGCAGAAGATAGCTGCTGCTGAGGAATGGCGGCTCTATTCTGAGCCCCTCCTAAAAAGCTTCTCAGCATAGAGCAGTCTGAGCTGGGGAGGGTAGGTGTGGCCAGCTCCAGCTTGTTTTCTTAAAGTGACAGAGCCCTAAACGGCTCATTCTGGAAGGTAGCAAAAATTTCTAGAATAAAACTGCTGAATTGGCTTTATATAAGCATGATTTTGTTCAATAAAACTACATAAATTTGTTTTTTTTTTTAAAGATTCCTGGATAATTATAACTGAATACAAACCGGCCTATGTGCCATTAAAGTTTTTTGTGAAAGCAGGTGGTTGGGGATTGGGCAAGGCAAGTCAGCCTTTTTTACTTTAGCACATTTCATGCACAGAGGCAATTCAATGCTTGATTAGATTGTCTGCAGGAGGCAAAGATGACATCCTAAACATTTACTCAAATGACACGTCCCCGTTTCTTCAGCGGCTTCCTTCTCTGTTTGTCTTCAGGATGAAAATCTGCATGATGTGTTACAGTTGGTGGTAGCTCTCATGTCTGAGCATCCAGCTTCCATGATCCCTGCCTTCGACCAGAGAAATGGAATACGGTAAACCCCCGGACCTTAAGAATTTCTGGTGTTGTTGCATCATGACTAAGTGATGTATGTTCTGATTGAGAAGCAAAATAATGCAGCCACACTAACAAAATGGTTTTACATCCTATAATAAGGTCTGTAGTTAAAAAAAGCAGTCAGCTGCGGAGAAGCCTTTTCATCAGCAGGGTGATGGTTATTACTCTGCGTATTGTTACTGATTTCCATGGATTTTAATTTTTCAGGGTCATCTACAAGCTTTTGGCCTCTAAGAGTGAGAATATTCGTGTACAATCCTTGAAAGTGCTCGGATACTTCCTAAAGCACCTGGGACACAAGTAAGCAACTAGTTCCAATTTTAATATGTTGATTTTAATTAGACATTTTATTGGTTTCTTTATTTTGCAGTGAACTCTATAAATGTGTGTGTGCTCCAATATCTTAGAAAGTGATTCTTTATTATGTATTTGATGTTTTTAATCTCTCCATGTCTTTGAAATGCCATATCTTCACAAAGGAAAGGAGGCTTTTATACTACAAAGTGGGCTTCACATTCAGGACGAGTTAGCCTCTCCTGCTTTTCAGACTTCAGGGGAAATTTCTTGAGGAGATGCCAATTTAGCAGATTGAGGTGCTTCAGTTTGTAGAATACTAGAGTCTTGGCATTGTTCCTTACAGCCATTAATTCCCACATGAGGTAAGAGGGAAAAGTCACTGTCCTGCACAGTAAAATAAATGAAATCCCACCCACAAGGATGTCGGCACATCACGTTGAAACTGCACTCAAGAGATGAAAGTGGATGCCCATGGGTGGACAGCTTATGGTTGTAAATGCAGGATTCAGGGTTGAATGGAGAGGAAGAGGGGAGGTGCAGTTCTCACAGCAGTGCAGGACCAGGTTTGTGATGTTGAATGGAGGAGAAGGGCTTTAGCGCACCACCTCAGGCACTAAGTAACGTTTATAAAAATACTGTAGGTGCTAAAGCACATCTGTGTTTACTTGGTGTTTGTTCTCATTTGTAATTCATACCACTTGGATTTTTATTTTAAAAACTGGGTTGAGAAGGCATCCTAAAATTGACTTTTTGTACAGTAATCTGTTTAAATGTTTCCTGGAATTTAAAACCATATTTACCTAGTTGTTTGGAGAACAGTAGCTCAGGAGGTAGAGTGAATTGTCCAGTAATTGGAAGGTTGCAGGTTCGATCATGGCTCATCAGAGAATACTTGGCAAGAAGAAGAATACACTTCACCTGCCTTGCTTGCTGGTGGTAGCTGGTGGCGCCAGGGAATAGCAGGCCTCGCCTCTGTCAATCCATCCCAGGGAAGCTGTGGCTACATTGTAGCTCATCATCACCAGCGTGTGAATGGGTGGATAAATGGTTTGTTCTGAGAAAAGCTGGTTTAACACATCATAAGCTTTGACAACATCTGCATGTCCGTACCCAGTTCCGTGTCCATAAATTACAATTTTTGGTTGCAATAATGCTAACTGCAAAACAACGCTATTCTGAGCTACTGCTAATGCTAGCACGAGCTACTCAAATCAAATCAACTCAAATCAAATCAAACTTTATTTATATAACATTTTTCATGCAAAGCAAGCAACACAAAGTGCTTAACAGATTAAAATGACCCATATAACCCACATTCCCTCCCTTTACCACACTTAAAAAAATTATGACAGTTTCACCCCAAATCACAAACCATTCCCAGACACACACACACACACACACACACACACACACACACACACACACACACACACACACACACACACACACACACACACACACTCGTATGCATAACACATTAAAAGACCACAGTAAACACTAGGCTGAGCTCAGATTGGACAGGTAATGTCGCAGTAGCTACTGCTAATGCTAGCCTAAGACACTGCTAACTCTAGCCCAAGATACTGCAAATGCTAGCTCAAGCTACTGCTAATGCTAGCCTGCGCTATTACTAACGCTAACCCGATATACTGCGAACTTTAGCCTGAGATACTGCTAACTTTAGCCCGAGCTACTGCTAATTCTAGCCCGAGCTACTGCTAACGCTAGCCCAAGATACTGCAAATGCTAGCCCAAGATACTGCTAACTCTAGCCTAAGCTACTGCTAGCTCTATCCCGAGTTACTGCTAATGTTAGCTCGAGTTACTGTCATTGCTAGCCCGAGTTGCCAATTTCTTTGTTGGGAATGGAAAACAACAAAGGATTTTGGAAAATTGATTGTTCCAGGATTTTCTAGGAATATCCAGACTTGGATGAATGCCAGATAGATTCACAGTTTGCAGTCTATTTCCTCTTCCTCGCTTGTCCGCAAATGCCTTTTCTATAACCTCCCCGAGAGTCACCCATTCGTGGACTTCGGCTGGCTCGACATTCACTTCCTTGTTTGTGCGCAACCCCTAAAATAACGCTTTTAACAAGAACATCTTTAAGGTAGATGAGCACATACTGGCTAAAGAAAGTCCAAAATTTGTACAAATTTGGCAATATCATAAATAAAAGTCCAAACCGTAATGGCATATGTTCTTCATTTAGAAACTTCTTTTTTTGCAACAATTTCTTCCCTGTTAATTAAAATGAATTTACCCATTTAAACAAAAAAATTCTTTTTTTCTCATTTCCCCTTTTCTATCTCAATATAGTTTAGATAATTTTGCCCTTTTTTTCTAAGCTTTGAACTTGCAATCTACGCAAAGAACAAACTGTGTTGATGTGTTACAAAAGTCCCAACTTCTTTTGAAGCAGTTGGCAGCTGAATAATAAATGTCTTTGGGTGAGCATTGTGACAGCATTCCTAGCGCTGTGTGCAGATGCAGTTTGTCACTGTTAAACCTGCTCACCTGGGGTGCACCTCAGTATCTGAGACACTCCTGGTGACAGGCTAACTTCTTTATCCTACACAGCTCCTACACAGTGTACCCAATATATGATAGCAGGCAGTTCCTGACACTCGTCTCCAGAGCCCGGCTCCCTGTGGGGAGAATAGGAACGCACGCTGATGGCACACTCTGATTTCAGTGGCTTAGGTAGTTTCAAACAAGCCAGCTTACGTCGTTTGTGTGTGTTCGCGTGCGTGCGTGTGTGTGCGTGCGTGCGTGTGTGTGTATGTGTGTTTATATCTGCAGAAGAAAAGTGGAGATCATGCACACACATAGCCTGTTCACTCTTCTGAGCGAGAGGCTAATGTTGCTCACCAACACGGTTTCCGTTACGCTCTACAACACCCTGTATGAGGTAACAAGCTGTTTTCCTCCCAATTATCCCATCTTTATCATTCCATTGGTCCCAGTATATAAACTTAATGTCTTTTGACTGGTTCTTGCACCAGATTTTGACAGAGCAGGTCTGCACGCAAGTAGTGCACAAACCTCACCCTGACCCCGATTCTACCGTCAAGATTCAGAACCCAAGTAAGGCTGTAAGATGTTTTTGTGTTTTTATTAATCACATTTAAATGAAACTGACTTCATTGTTTCTGTTTGAGTGCAGTGATCCTAAAGGTGGTAGCGACTTTACTGAGGAACTCCCCTCCCAGCACAGAGCTGATGGAGGTTCGGCGGCTCTTTCTTTCAGATATGATCAAACTCTTCAGCAACAGCCGAGAAAACAGACGGTGAGCAGGATTTAACCCCATTTTATGTACCGCCTTGCTATTTTATTCACCCATTTTAATAATTATTGATGTCTCGGGGGAAAATGCACGCTTTAACATGTGGTTTCTCAACTCTTATCATGTTTATTAGGCCAATGGTGAAAAATAAATATTAGATCATGCACATTTTCTTCAGTTTATTAGCATTTGTCCTTTCTTCTTTCTCTTTTTTGCTAATGTTAGCTATTTTATTCCTCTGACACATGTAGACATTATTTATATTTAACTATAACCCTTAAAAGTAAACACGTTGAACAGAAACAGCGACTTTTAGAAGGAAGTTTATTTAAATGTGATTAAACTTGAAGAAAACAGAAATTTTGCCTTTTAATATTTGCTGTCAGCACTCTTGTTTGTTTGTGCAAACAAATAATAATTTACTGCATGCACAATAATTAATGCAATTCCATTTTTAAACCAAATGAATGCATTATTATGCATACATGTGCATTTAAGTTATGGGGATAATGATTTTAGTGCTGGAAATGTCCTCTAAATGTGTGATTTATTATTTCTGGAGGTGAAAAAAGACAAAATGCAGCAGAAAACAAAAGGTCTAAATCAGACTTTCTTTCACGCAGGTTAAATGCATTTATTACAGAGACACAATTTGATGAGTTTATCATGAAAAGTTAAAATTTATATGAAAAAACTGAGGAAAGGTGTAAATAAATAACTTGATCAAATTTGTAGGAAAGCTGCCAGTTCCGGCATGTTCCAGAAAAACAAGAGGTGTTGAGCTCTCAGAAATGTGCTAAAGATGACTAAAATATATATAATACTGCTGCACACAGGCTGAGGCACTGAGATGTGGGAGAAAGAACAAAGACTCAAGATCACGAAACATTTAATGTATTTATTTTTTAGTTTAGAATTCAGTGGTGATCAGTTCACAGACCAGCTGCAGGTCTCTAGACGATGATTTTGTTAGCTGTGGCTCAAGATATCTGCACATATGTGGAGGGTTATTGTTTTCTACAGGAAAAGGCTGGGCCACGTTAATGCAGGTACTTCAATTGATTTGCCAGCTAATTCCTCAGCGCTGAAATCATTTTAACCTTGACCCTCTCCTAACGTGACTTAATTTTTTTGAGAACTTGGATGTATTTTTCAATTGACTAAAACCTCTTCATTTATTTATATTTATTCAGCCTTTTGTTAAGCCACTCTCCTGCCCAAAGCTCCAGGGTCACAAACCCTCTTCAGAATTTTTTTAAATTCTGTCAGCAGTTAATTATTTTCCTGTTATTAACGTTACTTAGTGCATTATTAAGCAATAATAGACAAAGGGTCTCTTCATTAACATTCTCGATATTAACTATTAAGTGCCCTTAAAGAGACTGTATGCAACTTTTTCATATTTTTTAATCTTTTTCTTGAGTTAGTATGAGCTAAAATGACCATTCAGGGTTACTGAAATGTCACTCAGACCCCACTGCTCTCTGTGGCCACAATGTCTGTTGGAAAGGTAGCTGATGTGCCTAGCACTGCGGTCTGCTTCCAGCATGTTTCCTGCATGTTTTAGATCATGAACTCAGCTGATTTTTTTCTTAATTTAGTGATGAATGACTCCTGAAGACACTAGTGAAGGCTGGGGAGACGTTTTAGCTGTAGCTGTTAGGTTAAGGACAGCAAGGTGATGGGTTTTGTGTTTGGTTCTACTGAATATACACTAGGGGGTGCTAAAAGCGAGCAATAACTACCTAGTCTCCCTTTTAGGTTAGGACAAAGGGCCAGGGGGTGTCTGCTTAGTAATGCATTAACAATAATATTAGCTCATTAAGTGCCAGCCATTTTCTAAACAGAAAGCCCCTGACTGCCAGCAATTTCTGAGCATTTTTACAGCTTTTTGAAGAGTCTGTGCTCTATGACTATGCAACACCAAAACTACCAAAAGAAAGAGTAGAGTCTCTTCTTTCATTAGGAAGAATATACATGTATTTAGCCTTTTCAGTTCTTTCACAATCCGTTGTCGAAATGTATGCAGCAGAAGCTTTTCTGCTTAGCGCCTCGCTTCTTTCTCAGCAGCATCCTAAAACGATCTCCTAATTCATGGATTTTCTGCTTCCTGACCATGTTACGTGTGACACACATGGGTGGAGATCAGCTTTAGAGCCGTGATGTTTACTGTCAAGGTGCAGGATCTCATTTCCACACCCGCCCCGTTAAAAAATGCAATTGACAACTTATTTGTCAGTGTCAGTTAATACTATATTTAATAGATTATTAATGCTTAATAATGCACTAAATAATATTAATAAAATGACCCTTATTGCAAAATGTTACAATATATTCTTACTTTGCGTATTTATACCAAAATCAGACAAAATTTGTCATTGGACTGTATATTCAGCCAGTAACAATGACTCATTATGTCAATTGTTCTTCAAACAATTATGCCAACTAGACTGTAGTTCGTTTGATATTCTTTGTATTTTTTGCACAATGCAATTAACAAATCAATGTGCATGCAGTCAGAGTATGGATAGCTATCTGTTCGTTCTTTCAAAATAAAGAAATAGAGCAACACTGAAAAAAAGTTCCATCAAAAACACTTATACATTACATTAAAACCAAAATGTTAAATATTTGACTTAAGCTTCTTCCTGTTTGGTTTGGCTCACTTGAAACATCGTTTTGGTGGCGTGTGTCTGTCAGGTGTCTGCTGCAGTGCTCTGTGTGGCAGGACTGGATGTTTTCTCTTGGCTACATCAATCCTAAAAACTCAGAGGAGCAGAAAATCACTGAGATGGTGTACAACGTGTTTCGTATTCTCCTCTATCACGCCATCAAGTATGAATGGGGAGGATGGCGCGTGTGGGTGGACACCCTCTCAATAGCCCACTCTAAGGTGAGTACGGTAAAAAGAAAAGAAACACTGACCTCTGCTGCTGATGGAGACACTTTGAGCTCCTTTTGTCAGGTGGTTTTTACTCTTAAACAAGTAAAAAAAAAAAACACCCATAATACCACAACCAGATAAAGATCATGTCTTTTTTTCTATTTATAGGTGACATATGAAGCACATAAAGAGTATTTGGCAAAGATGTATGAAGAGTACCAGCGCCAGGAGGAGGAAAATATCAAGAAAGGGAAAAAGGGTTTGGTCAGCACTATTTGTGGTTTATCCTCTCAGCCATCTGGCATCAAAGGAGTGATTGAGATTGGAGAAATGGACGATACCTCCCAGACACCTGAAAGTGAGACGGACTACGAGAGCTCTAACCTGCTGGTTGACAGGAAGGGGTCAGACGAGGGTGCTGTAGACGGGGTCAGGGCTGAAGTTCATGACCTGCTGGTGGACATCAAGGCTGAAAAGGTGGAAGCCACTGAGGTCAAGCTAGATGACATCGAGTTGTCCTCAGAAATGTTGGGAGTGTCGGAGATTGGACCCCTGGTTGAGGTGGATTCTCTGCTGGAGGATGTTTACTGTGCTGCTGTGGAGAAGATCAACAGTAACGTCGGCAGTCTGTTGTTGGACGACCACAACGCCGCCCCTCTCATTACGCTGGATGATGACAAGGACAGCATTCCTCACAGTAACAGCTTCCTGTTTGGCAAGGCTCCGGGTAGCATAGAGGACAAGCTACTGCCTGATCTGAGTCCAGCTGAGCCTCTGGTTCTGCCCTGTCCAGAGTTGCCTGTTCACACCAGCCCCGGTGATGATCTCGGCCTTCTGACTCGCGTGACGAGCAGCTCATTATCCAGCATCCTGGAGAAGCACGAGTTTGACCTTAAGACGGCCCTTGAGAGTATCAACTCTGTGACTGAAACTGAGGACTCATCCAGAGTCCCACAAGCCAACGGGGGCACATCTGCACCTGAAGGCGGCCCACTGGCTGATGAGACCACTGGTACTCCTGGTGCTGTGAGACCGGACGATGGCAGAGACAAGGAGATGAAAAAGATCCAGATGACAGCCACTACGCAGGTTGGTCTTAAGGAGACACCTGACAGAAAGGTCTTGCTTGCTTTGAGATTTAAAAAGGAAACTGCTGATTTGAATGCAGTCAAAAAATAATTCTAGGTTGTAAGGCTAAAGGAAGTCCTGGGAAAGATGGCTGAAAACTATCAGCACGCACACAAGAGAGGGAGTGAGCAGAGGGACTTGGGTTGTGACCCGTCGTAACCAGTTCTACGTTAACAAACCCGTAGAGATCTTTTTCTTTTCACGCTGGATGTAATGGGGACAAGAAGGCCTGGTGCACATCAGGCACCATCCCTCAGATCCAGGAAACTGGGTTACTGCAATCGTTGGCAAAGCAAACAGAAGGGAGACAGAGACAAAGATTTATTCTCCAACAATCACCTGGGACTTGTTTATTGCTCCCTTTCTCTCTGCTCCTTTCGGAGGTCAGGCTCTTTTGCGTAGACAGGGTCACCAATGGAGGGCCGGCGGGAGATCATGTGTATTTATAAACCATACCTGCAGTTGCATAATTGCTCATGTTGAATTCATTGCTGCTGCTTTTTAAAACGGGCTTTTTGCAGCACCTTGCCGAGTCATTCGTCTCATTTTAGAGGTTACAATGAGCATGTACTCCGTTAGAAGTTGACTCACTTTCATTCGTGGTAAATAATTCAGCAGGAACATTAAATTGGACTGATCTGCACAACAGGATTTGTATCTAGACTTTGTGCCTGACCTTACAGTGGAAGCATTTGTTTACGACTTGTCAACTGTGTTTGTTTTTGTGATAAATTGATCTTCCATCAGAGTGTGCATGGACGACTAGTCTCTCAGATGGAAAAGGACGTGCATGTGGATCTTGGCTTTAGGGGGGCGCCCATGACGGAGGAACAGCGACGTCAGTTCAGCCCTGGTCCTCGCACCACCATGTTCCGCATCCCAGAGTTTAAATGGTCGGCCATGCACCAGCGACTGCTCAGTGACCTGCTGTTTGCTCTGGAGAGTGACGTTCATGCCTGGAGAAGGTGTGTGAGATTTGAACACAAGAGAAGGAAGCAATCAATTGTGGAAAACGCTGCACTTCTAGAAACCAATGGAATAAGAATGGTTCGTGTATTTGAAATCTCTTGTTCCCATAATAACCTTTTCATTTTTGTCCCCTTTCACCTGCAGCCACTGCACCAAATCTGTCATGGACTTTGTTAATAGTAATGAGAACATCATTTTTGTGCACAACGCCATCCATCTCATCTCCCAAATGGTCGACAACATCATTATTGCCTGTGGAGGCATTTTGCCCCTTCTCTCTGCGGCCACCTCTCCTTCTGTAAGTTCTGACTTTAGTGAAAGAGAACAGTGCCATCTAGTGGCGGTCTGGAAAAACGACTTCTTTCTGTTTATCTGTTATAAAATGTTTCTCAGAAAGTATCGGTGGGAAATATGACTTGTTTGTTTGTTGTTGACTGCGTTTACCTCAGTTTCCACATTTTTATTCAGTTTCATGAATTCTGCAAATATTAGTTTAGTTCAGTTTCTTGTGCCTCTAATTTACTTTGTCATCCATGTTTTTATACATTTTTTTGAATATTCTTAGTTGAATTTGATTAAAATCATCTTTTTGTTTTTTGCTAGACTATCAAGGTTAGTATTTATGCTGTTTTAATAAATTTCTTAGGTTATTTTTGTTACTCTATTGTTGCATCCATTTCAACCCTTTGTGTTTGTTTAAATAATTTTCTCTCAGACACTCTGGCCCCCACAGCAGCAGTAGTAAAAGACCATTAACCCCTTAAGCCCTAGGCCTATTTTGAAGCCTATTCCTTGACAAATGGTAAAAATAGTTTAGATATCCTTGTAGTGCTGGGTTTGCTGATTAACTTGATGGGAATTATTACTATTTCTTCTGTAGTGTGAGGGTTGTTTTGGGCCTGTTAAGGAACTAACGTCACAGGGTCCCCCACCTGGGGGACCCTAGGGCATAAGAAGCTGTTATCTTCCAAATATGCTTCTGTTTCTTCCTCAATCTTTTCAGAATTGTTTGCAACTTTTGCGTTTATAATAACCTTTTTGTCACAGCTGGAGGTAAATTTTAACTTTTGTTCTGTATGACTTTTGCAAGACTGAGTTGGAGAACATCGAGGCCACTCAGGGCATGTCTTCAGAAACTGCCATTACTTTCCTGTCCCGTCTCATGGTCATGGTAGATGTTCTGGTCTTCTCGAGCTCCCTCAACTTCAGTGAGATTGAGGCAGAGAAGAACATGTCCTCCGGTGGCCTGATGCGCCAGTGCCTCAGACTGGGTACGTCATGTTTATTTATAACAGTTTTCTGGCGCAGAGGTGAAAAATAGACCATTTAGAGAGGAAGTGATGAATTACAGTACCATTTTTGTATATAGAAAATGGAATAAGGTGGAAAAATCCCCCAGTTGCATTCAGCTCACGTAATGTAATAATTCCTCTAAGCCCTGAAAATCCTCTGTTTGATCAGCAGAGTTAATTAATTTAGGAATCCTCTGGTAATTGTGTAATAAATTGTCAAATGCAAAGAGTTTCACAGCAGTTTTCACTTTTGGATTCAGAATGAGCCGAGAGGCTGATTTGCAGCACTATCAGGATCTCTTTGCAAACGGGAGCCTTTATGTACGTCTCAAATGTGTTTTATTGGACTGTGAGGTTTTCTGTTTGTGTGAATGATTTCCATTAGGCATAATCCAACAATTACTCACTTGAATAGAAATAAACAATGGCTAAATGCAGAATGAGATTATTTAGAATAAGCTGTTTTGCAGAATCCCTTGTAAAAGGCATCCCTCTCAGGTTTTGTTTTGCTTGTTGCTGTGGGGTTGGCTGTTCATGAGCCTGTGCCTGCTTGATTGTTGACTCACGCTGTCGTCTCAAGGATGGAGCGTAGACTTTAAACTTCAGTGTCCTCCTTACAAACGTTCAATCATGGCTTCAGTGTGAAATCGTTCTGGCTGCTGATTTTACCCGGGCTCTACGTCCCGACAGCCTGGAACAAACAGTCATTAGGGGTAACTGATTAGGTCTAAGGAGGCCATGCTTGTTATCAACATTTAATCATTTCCATCAGATTGTGAAGTTGTGTGCTTTGTGTGTGCTCGTGTGCAGTGTGTTGTGTGGCGGTGAGGAGCTGCCTGGAGTGCAGGCAGAGACACGATAACAGGACTCAGGAAATCCTGCAGAATACTGTGATTTTTAACAAGGTAAGCTGTGATGTCACACTTAACTCGTCTTATTGATGTTTTAGCTATAGAACCATGTTGCTCCGTGTTACCAGGATTCAAATGGTGTCACAAAATCATTTTCTCACTTTTGCTGTCATCTGCACAATGTGCTATTCTAAATCAGTTCTTTTCTTAATGCAGACATATTGATTTCTTAATCTTCCTCCTTTTTATTCTATCACGTCCCACGAAAGCAGTTTCTATTACCTCAATTTACGCTTCAACTAAACATATCAGCCTGTTGGATTGTGTTAAATTTCTGCTTTAGACCACCATGGAGACTGTTCCTACTAACCTGTCTCCAATCAAGGACCCTGATCGTCTTCTGCAGGATGTGGACATCAACCGGCTCCGTGCTGTGGTGTTTCGGGATGTGGTAAGCCTACTCTCTGTGTTTGTGCGTAAACATACTTGTTGGACTGGAGCATGGACCATCAGCCGAAGTCTGAAAGCTGTGTTTTTAAAGGCAAATCTGACTGCACGGGTAACTAATGTGCAAAAAAGTAATATGTTGATGTTCTGCTTGTATTTTTATGTGAAAAATATGAAATGGTAATTTTCCATTGTCCATTCCTATGTTGGTCAGAAAGCACATTAGGGTCATTCAGTGGAAAAATTAACTTGAGATTAAAGGCAACTTGGCAGTTTTACTTGTTTTTACCACCCCCTAATGTCCGTTATTAGTTCTCTGTGGTCAAAGCAAAAATGAAACTTAACTCCTCGCTGTGCATTTGTCTCTTTAACACCTCAGTGTAACAGCTGAAATGTCTCCTCAACCTTTATTAGTTTCTGCAGTGATTCATCACTAAATCAAACAAGTCATCCCTGTCATGATCAAAAACATGCAGGAAACGTGCTGGAAGCAGTTCCACCATGTCAGCTCCACCCCACTCTGAAGTTGCAGTAGCGGTATTCTGGCTACAGAGAGCGGTGGGGTCTGAGTGACATTTCAATAATCCTTTAAAGGGTAATTTTAGCAATTACTGGCTCAAGAAAGTGAATAAAAATTATGAAAAGTTGCAAAGTATCCATCTAATATTTTGAAAAAGTTAAAAGGTTGGAAAAAATATCTTTCCACAAAAAATATCCAGAGTAGACCGTTTCAAGAACAGGTAAAGGACTCAAACCACATATGTTACCTACTGGATTTGTGTTTTTTTAATTATTATTGGTTTATCTTTACTGGGCAAAGTATAAAAAAAGGGGGATTTTTTTCTTGAATCCTTCACAATAAGAGCAACACGATAATGCTCATTCTTTCTTCTGAAGCATATAAAATCCCCTTCTCTAGTTAAACTGCTCATAATTCTGAAGTAATTCCCTGGTTAGGTTCAGATTCAGATTAGAAATCATTTCATCATAGTTCATTTACACAAGGCATGATGGGTACTGGTTTAGTTTCTGTTTCATTTTTGTAACCTTTCTTCTTGAAATACCATCTTTAAATGTAATCTTGACATTTTGACTTTCTTATGCGCTTTAGTCTCAAATTTCTATGTTTTCATTTTTTTCTGAGGGATTCTAATACAACGACATATGTCACAAAGACAAGTGTTTGTCATGAGATCCTAATACATTTTGCAGAGAAGCCATCTGTTTTTGGCTATTTAACTTTGGACATTAAACACTAAGATACTGAAGATGTCAACATTGTTATTGACAGGTAGTTCTTTGCACTTTGTATTAGTAAAAATTTGGCATGACACTCCAATTTAAGATTTTAATAGTGAGAAATAAAAATGTTTAACATAGAAAGTGGCCAAGCTGTTGTTATAATTCTTCTTCACAGGATGACAGCAAACAAGCCCAATTCCTGGCTTTAGCTGTGGTGTACTTCATCTCTGTCCTGATGGTCTCAAAATACCGCGACATCCTCGAACCTCAGTGTGAGACCGTCAAGATAAGCAGCCAATCAGTCCACAGCATGTGTCAGGAGACCAACTCTCTCTCCAGCAAAGGTGCTGTTCTCTGCCTGTTGTTACATCCATTCATCTAATCTTCTAGGAACAAGGTGCACCCGACGAACACAAATGCAAAGTGTCTACTGTGTCTCTTCTGTGGTTCTATTTCCAGCTTGTAGGAGTTGAGAGCTCATTGAGGCAAAGCAACAGGGATATCCTGCCTGAGCTCCTCTGGTTCATCTATGATTTATTCATGAGCTCTGTTAATTTCACCACACAGAATTAAAGGTGGTAGCAAATAGACTGGCTAAGGAGGTGGCAGCTGTGAACTCGAATAGGCTTCAATCCTCACTCTGAAAGAAAGGGTAGAAAATTCCTCCAGTCATAAATCATACATTAAACCACATGAAAGGAAATCGCTGGCTGCCTACAAAGGGTCCAACGCAATACCTGGTGCAGTGCCAATTGCTTTTGTGAAGCATACAAGTTAGCGTACTTCGTCAACTTTAATTCAGATAAAAGGTGAAGGGAATAAAAGAAAATGGAGGAAGAGGAGCAAGGCCAAAAGGAATATGTATGAGTAATTTAACAAGTGGAGACCACGTTAAGAATAAAAGAAGATGAGCGGCAAGAAGTTGAGAGATGAGAAAGCTGTGGGTTTTTGGGGCACTGGAGCCAAGCTTGCTATTTTCAGCCCCATCTGTCAGTGCCCATTAGGCAAGCAATCCACCAGAGGAGAATGGGATCATAGAGGTTGCTGGGAGGAGAGAGGCACACTGCCGCCTTCATAAATTTCACCAGAAAATAGGGGAATTTTCCAGACGGCATGTGGCAGACGATTGTCTGATGGACCAGGAAGCCAGACGACTTGCAGGCAAAATCAGGCCCTGCTGATCGCGTTAGGGAGCATGTGATGAATATTAACATGGCTGCCCTTGCATGTTGGTAACCACAGGTCAGGAGGAGGAACCAGGATGTGACTGGAAAGGCCCTTCTGCAGCTCTCTGGGAAACCAAACTCAATGTTACATTCTCTGTGTAACAGCTAGTTTTATTATTTATTCAGTTCTGACTGAACAAACGTACTAAATGCTGATTGTTATTTCACTACTCATGGGCCACAATATCTGAATAGCTTATTATGTTTTAATAACAGGGAAGGCAGAACTCAGAGCTTATCTCTGGAGAATCAGGGCTTCTGGATGGAGATCTAAGAAGATGCCTTGGCACATGGCTTTCTTTACACAACTATATTTACTGTTTGGCGTGGAATATAAAGCTAGCTCATGCATGAATTTTATTTAATAATACTGGGAGGGTTTACTTTAGGTTTCACATCTTTACTGTGTCATCTTGTCTTTTTACTGGCGTAGTTAACTGTATGGAAAATATGTGCGCAATCATTTGTAAGGATGTACTTTCTTAATTCTGCAGAAACACCTCTAGCATTTCCAGGCAGCAGGGAGCTATCAGAAGATCTCCATGTAGAAATCTCTCTGCCTCACACAGACTCTGGGATCGGGGATGAGCAGGTAGCCAGCATCCTTAGCGGATCGGACCTGGAACACAAAGCGGGAGGACCTGACGTTGTGGGCGAGCTCATTTCCACACTGTCCTCTGAAGTGAAGTCCTTGGAGGCCCTGTCTGAATCTCCTGATGTGGAGGTGCTGAAACCACCCTCGTCCGTCGTCGGCGTTAGTCAGTCCAACAAGGGCATCAATGTGAAGGAGATTTTGAAAAGCTTGGTAGCAGCGCCACTGCAGGGGATGGAAGCTGGGCTGGAGCCTGTGTCCTCTGACTCCGTCGCCAAGGCCCAGGCGGTGCTGCCGGTGCAGTTTCACTCCTTTGACAGGTGAGGTGTCAGTGGTGTGTGATCTACATCTATCTAAATATAACACTCACATGAGCAGCAATGACACTTTGGTTTATTGTGTCAGTGTTTTTAATGCATGGATGCATTTGTCTAATAATTTCAAGCATCACTGTTTTAAAGCTTTAGGGCCTCGTTTATAAAACGTTGTGTAGAACCCTTCCTTAAACCCTACTTAAGCTCAGCAAAAAAAATTGCTTCCACAAACAAATTTTCTGACCTATAGAACCCTGCTTACGTACGGCTGCAGCAGTTTCTGCTTTAGAGATCACACCTGTCCTAGAAATGAGCTCAAGTGTTTCTGGATCCCATCCTGCCCAAGACACACCCACTTTCTTCCATAAATGGACAATGGAAACTACATTGAAAATACCGCGCATATAAATAAACGTGTTTATAGACCGCATGTCACGGGTAACCCTGACAACCAAGACTGAAATCCACACTCCGGGGCATGACGTAGGCACAGAAAAAAAGTTTCATTCCCTTTGTGCCGTACCGCACTGTTGAAAGGGATGCAGAGTGATCAGTGGGCATAAAATATAAGAAATATATTAAAAAAAATAAGTGACCAGATTAAGCCCAAGATGGCGATAATCATTAACACTATCAATAAAAGTGGCACTAAGGTGCAGAGAGATTGCTAGTATTCCAGATCCAAGGAGAACATTTGATGAAAACATTGAACTCAACAGGGCTTTAGGCACGAAATGTTGATCATATCAAACAAATATCAGCCCACCTGTCGACTAATTCCTGCTGGAACGAACCGGTTTAAGAAGACTCCAACAGGTTTCCCTGTGATTTTTATCTATAGAGGGACTATATTGACTTGGCAAGCCATCCTAAATATGTGAGAATGGCCACGACCCGTAGACAGAGCTCAGTCGTGGGGCGGGACCCACAGTTGTTTTCAGACTGTCTCTGCATGCTATTGGACAACGAACAACATGACAGTCTGCTCTATACTGTTAAAGAAGATGAACATAAAGTTCAAGCCGAAGCCGTTTCAAACAAGCTGTCGCCATCTTTGCTGTTTCGCTCCGTTGCAGCGACATCCCACCCGCCAAACCAACAGAACGCTGTGATTGGCAGGACACAAAACCAATCAGGCCTGCTGAGGCTTCTTGAGAGCTGCAGAGCAAAATCTTTTTGTGATGGTCTATCTAGACTCCTAGACAGACCTTGCATTGCTCAAAAAATGAAAAATGGAACACAATGTGACTCCAAGTCAATCACACTTGTGTGAAATCAATTTAGGAAGCGACACTCATTAACGATCAGTTCCACTGCTGTTGTGCAAATAGAGCAGACAACAGGTAGAGATTATAGACAATTAGCATGACATCCCTAATAATGGAGTAGTTCTGCAGGCGGTGACCACAGACACTTCTCAGTTCCTACGCTTTCTGGATGATGTTTGGGTCACTTTTGAATGCTGGTGGTGCTTTCACTCTAGTGGTAGCATAAGACAGAGTCTACAACCCACACAAGTGGCTCAGGTAGTACAGCTCATCCAGATGGCTCATCAATGCAAGCTGTGGCAAAAATAATGTATGTCAGCATAGTGGCCAGAGCATGGAGGCGCTACCAGTAGACAGGCCAGTACATCAGGAAACATGGAGGAGGGAGGATAGGAGGGCAACAATCCAGTAGCAGGACCGCTGCCTCTGCCTTTGTGCAAGGAGGAACAGGAGGAGAACTGTCAGAGCTCTGCAAAATGACCTCCAGCAGGCAACAAATGTGCATGTGTCTGCTCAAATAGTCAGAAACAGGCTTCATGAGGGTGGTAGGAGGGCCCGACGTCCACAGGTGGGGGTTGTGCTTAAAAGCTCAGTACCATGCAGGATGTTGGGCGTTTGCCAGATAACACCAAGATTAGCAAATTGGCCACTGCTGCCCGGTGTTCTTCAGATAAACGCAGGTTCACCCTGAGCACATGTGACTTGAGTCTGGAGATGTCACTGAGAATGTTCTGCTGTCTGCAACATCCTCCAGCATGGCCAGTCTGGCAGTGGGTCAGTAATGGTGCGGGGTGGCATATCTTTGGGCCGCACAGCCCTCCATGTGCTCGCCAGAGGTAGCCTGACTGCCATTAGGTACCGAGGTGAGATCCTCAGACTCCATGTGAGATCATGTGCAGGTGTGGTTGGTCCTGGGTTCCTCCATGGGTTGATGCATATTTATTGTGATTTTGTTGTCAGTTTTGTTGTCAGTGCATTCAGTTATGTACAGGTGCTGGCCAGTAAATTAGAATATCATCAAAAGGTTGAAAATATTTCAGTAATTCCATTCAAAACGTGAAACTTGTACATTATATTCATGCAATGCACACAGACCAATGTATTTCCGATGTTTATTACGTTTAATTTTGATATTTATAGGTGACAACTAATGAAAACTCCAAATTTGGTATCTCAAAAAATTAGAATATTCTGAAAAGGCTGAATATAGAAGACACCTGCTGCCACTCTAATCAGCTGATTTACTCAAAACACCTGCAAAGGCCTTTAAAAGGTCCCTCAGTCTTGTTTTGAAGGCACCACAATCATGGGGAAGACTTCTGACTTAACAGCTGTCCAAAAGACAATCATTGACACCTTGCACAAGGAGGGCAAGACACAAAAGGTGATTGCTAAAGAAGCTGGCTGTTCGCAGAGCTCTGTGTCCAAGCACATTAACAGACAGGCGAAGGGACGGAAAAAATGTGGTAGAAAAAAGTGTACAAGCTCTAGGGATAACCGCACCCTGCAGAGAATTGTGACGACAAACCCATTCAAAAATGTGGGGGAGATCCACAAAGAGTGGACTGCAGCTGGAGTCAGCGCTTCAAGAACCACCACGAGGAGACTCATGAAAGACATGGGATTCAGGTGTCGCATTCTGTGTGTCAAGCCACTCTTGAACAAGAAACAGCGCAAGAAGCGTCTCGCCTGGGCCAAGGACAAAAAGGACTGGACTGATGCTGAGTGGTCCAAAGTTATGTTTTCTGATGAAAGCAAGTTCTGCATTTCCTTTGGAAATCAAGGACCCAGAGTCTGGAGGAAGAGCGGAGAAGCACAGAATCCACGTTGCATGAGGTCCAGTGTAAAGTTTCCACCGTCAGTGATGGTGTGGGGTGCCATGTCATCTGCCGGTGTTGGCCCACTCTGTTTCCTGAGGGCCAGGGTCAATGCAGCCGTCTACCAGGAAGTTTTAGAGCACTTCATGCTTCCTGCTGCTGACCAACTTTATGGGGATGCAGACTTCACCTTTCAACAGGACTTGGCACCTGCACACAGTGCCAAAACCACCAGCACCTGGTTCAAGGACCATGGTATCCCTGTCCTTGATTGGCCAGCAAACTCGCCTGACCTTAACCCCATAGAAAATCTATGGGGTATTGTGAAGCGGAGGATGCAATACGCTAGACCCAACAATGCAGAGGAGCTGAAGACGACTATCAGAGCAACCTGGGTTCTCATAACACCTGAGCAGTGCCACAGACTGATCGAGTCCATGCCACGCCGCATTACTGCAGTTATTGAGGCAAAAGGAGCCCCGACTAAGTATTGAGTGCTATACATGCACATTCTTTTCATGTTCATTCTTTTCAGTTGGCCAACATTAGAGAAACAAACATTTTTTCATTGGCCTTTAGAATATTCTAATTTTCTGAGATACCAGATTTGATGTTTTCATTGGTTGTCACCTATAAATATCAAAATTAAACGTAATAAACATCGGAAATACATTGGTCTGTGTGCATTGCATGAATATAATGTACAAGTTTCACGTTTTGAATGGAATTACTGAAATATTTTCAACCTTTTGATGATATTCTAATTTACTGGCCAGCACCTGTAAAGAACAAAGTATTTAATAAGAATATTAAATTCATTCAGATTATTTTTTTGTTCCCTTTGTTTTTGAGTGTATAAATATAAGACCTTTATATCAGAGCGGGATCAGATAGTCACATTTAGGCATTTTAAATTATTTTAAAAAATGTTGAACTACATGCCCCATCTTTAAATGTATGCACATCCATTTTTTGTGAAAATATGATTTAATTGACATTTGTTTTGAAAATGCTTCTTTTAAAAGTGTTGTCATTGTGAATGTTGTGTTCATTAAATAAATGAAAAAGGAGATTATGCATGAGCCTGTGTGTGTGTGTGTGTGTGTGTGTGTGTGTGTGTGTGTGTGTGTGTGTGTGTGTGTGTGTGTGTGTGTGTGTGTGTGTGTGTGTGTGTGTGTGTGTGTGTGTGTGCGTGCGCGCTCTGATGTGAGGGTAGAATGGAGATGTTTATCTCGGTTATGCTGAACAGCAGTAATGTTTTTATGCAGGCAGGAACACATCTCTCATGTCAACCCACTTCTGTTGTACGTTTTCCCTTCACAGAGAAATGCCTTTGTTTGAAAGGGTCTCTGAAGCACTGTTCTACTGCTGTAGTTTATTTACATTCCTGGATTAGTTGAAACCACACAGTAATCTGTCTGGATTTGGGTGTTTACAAACCTGCTGCTGCAGGGATTCCAAGTGTGAGCTCCCTGTGATCCCTGATTCCTCACTGCTTAAAAAAAGTTTCAGTCTTCTAAGTTTTAGGACAAAACCCAATTTCACCCCCGCCTTTTTAATCTGTGATGCAAATCATTTGACTGAAAAAGAGGAGATAATGAGCAACAAAGGCGTGTCCTCCTTTTTAATGAGCTGGTTTGAGGTAGACGTAGTAAAAGGGGGGGAAAGATGGAGGAAAGCATGGAGAAAGGACAGCTGACAGGGCAGGGGTCTCCTGGGTTTTGATGACAGATTGAGCAGAAGTGACCAAGCACCACGCTACGGCCAGCCTTCGTCCTCACAACTCACATTCATAATGGGACCTGGCAGCCTGAAATGAATCGCCACAGAAAAGTGTATTATTTTTGAAATGCTTTCACACAAAGCCTCCTGACCACATTTACAACTTTGTCTCATGCTTTTCATGTCACTCCCCTCTCCCGCCTCTCATTTGCTGTGTCTAATTGTTTGCCACCTGCCTGTGAAATGAGCTGCCAGCCGTGGAAAGGCCTTTCATTTGTCTGTTGAGGCTAAAATAGATTGAGAGTGACAACATCAAACAAAAAAAAAAAAAAAAAAAAAAAGAGGAGGGGAAAATAGCTTAAAGTGGAGCATACTGGGGCAGTCGTCATAGAGAAGAGGTTTAAACCACAATGTTGGGACTTCCTTTTGACCAGTGGGAAAACATGGAAGAAATGCCTTTGTAATCTTCAACTGTTCACCCTTTTTGGCTCCCAACTGTCCAGATTAGAGATATTATTTGTCCTTAGCTTCCTCATGATGGAGGACAGTGATAACGCTTATTGGATTTGGGTGTGGGATTGAAGCACAGTGTTTTCTTATATATCTCCCAGTATTTTCTGAATAAAGAACTATTAGATCATAATCTTATTTAGAATTCATAAAGGAAATATTTCTTTGGCTTCTACATTTTTACACTGCAGCTATCTCCCATCGCCACAGACCTCATTAATATTCATCCTAAGATTAATCCTTGCTTTATTCTCTGCAACTCAATTAAGACAATCCTATTAATAAAATATGCTCTAGATAATCTATACATGATTCATGAGAGTTTGACTACTGAATTATTCATTGAAAGAGGTTCATGTTTTATCCACGTCCTGTAGATCTAATGTACTGCCCCAGCCATGCCAGAGATGGGTGGTGGGGTGTGTGTGTGTGTGCAAAAAGAGAAGTTTGGAAAGCAAGATTGAATTCACACTCAGTTCTGCAATAAAAACATGCTGCTGGTGTTCTGAAATCTATTCGTGCAATTTCTCAGACGATAATAGAACATAACTCTTTTAAATAAATGATACCTGTCATCAGTGTTCTTCAGAGCACAGCTGTATCCCTGCTGATATGAATATTTTAGTAAGCTTTCAAGTGATCCCTAACGCCATCTCTCTTTCTCTTCCCCCTGGTTGATGGAGCTGACTTTGATTTGAGTTTTAGAGGTTTTTCTTTATTTCTGCTATTTGAGACTCATTACATGGCTGGCCTAGCCTGGCAAGCCAGACTAAATAAATGTATTATTTAGTCTGGCCACGCTCCATTGACGGCTCTCGGTTGTGGGCGGGTTCTACCGTTGTCTTTCAAATGATCTCCGCATGCTACTGGACAATGAATGTGACATACTCTTGTTTCACTCTGTTGCATCATCCCACCCACCAGGCATATAGAGGGCCCTGATTGGCCCACAAAGCGGATAAAGCTCTGTGATTTGTTCACTAAGCAGATAGAGCACTATGATTGGCCCACCATTATGGACCAATCACAGCTCTTTATGTGTTTGAAACCCCTCTAGAGAGCTGTGATTGGCCAGCCAGAGTCCTGGTAGGAGCTGCTGAGGTTCCAATGGAGCATGCCTAGACCAAACTTTGCAAAGCAAGAATTTGGTCTAGTTCACTAGGCTATGGCCGGCCATTACCAAAACTATTTTTCAAAGCAGCAATCTGGAGTTCTCCCCCTTTCAGAAATACCCTGTGTTGTGATATAATGTAGACAATAAGGTTTTTATGTTGTTTTTCCAAGTCCACCTCCCGTCCCGTGGAGCCTCATGTGACTTTACCTCTGCTGCTCAGCATTGGCCAATAGCGCATACGTATGACAATCACAGAGCGTGTGCGTGCGTGCGTGTGTGTGTGTGTGTGTGTGTGTGTGTGTGTGTGTGTGTGTGTGTGTGTGTGTGTGTGTGTGTGTGTGTGTGTGTGTGTGTGTGTGTGTGTGTGTGTGTGTGTGTGTGTGTGTGTGTGTGTGTGTGTGTGCGTGCGTGTGCGTGTGACTAAGCAGCATAATGTCAGAATAATTGTAAAACCGTTTGCTTGAGCTCTGTTGCTCGACTTGGTGTGGACATTCACTAATGAGAGGTGCATTTTCCAGCTGCAATCACAGAAGTAGGGAGAGAGCTGCAATACATATTTTCACCTCTAGATGGTGCCTTCTGAGGACATTAACCCTTTGATGCATGAATTATGAAATCTTCAACCATGATTTTTTTAAACAATTTTTTCATGCGTCTTTAGGTGTGAATGAAACAAATTTCAACAAATATTTTTTTGTAAAATTTTATAAATTACAAATAATTTATTATGTGTCCACCTCAGTGGACAGTGTGCATTCTGAGCATGAAATATGTTGGCTTGGCTTACTGAAGTCCAAATGGAGGGGCTCACATGCAATAAAGTCTTCGACAGCTGTTCTTAATGGCAAAAACAAATAAATAACAGTTTTGGGTACCTGTCCACTGTAGTGACCATTATGCATCAAAGGGTTAAAAACCTCTGAATTTCTTTCTTTAAAGTGTACATTGCCAGCATATACATAGCAAATTTATATGGGCAAACAGTATGGGTCAGGTTTTGTCAGTGGTTTCTATGTTTGCTCCACAGGGGTTTGCCCACATAGATTTTAAGAGGCCATACATGGGTTTTTAGTGGGACCCAGATGGTTTGACTCATACATGGGCCTGTTGAAATCTGTGGGTCCACCTGCAGACAACACCTTCTGGGACCCATACGTTTGTCCATATTTATTTTTAAAAGGAACCCACATATGCATGCTAGCCGGGTTAACCAACCTTTTGTTTCTAGATAAAATCAAGCATGCTGTTTTAGTTAAATATAACAGCTTTGACAATTTTGAGGAACACATTTGGAACAGAATAGCAAGATCAACTGCTAAGGAACCGGTCATAACCCGCCCATATTGGGTTTGTTTCCTGCAGCGTGTTCCTATCTCATGATCTACAGGATGGACTGGATATAAAACAGCAACAAAAAAGGACAAAACTCTGTTGTTTTGTAGAGGCAGGATATCTGGGGATTTGCTCCATATGACAACAGGCTTAGCTTGTGACAGTGCAAAGGCCTGGCCTTTGTCACCCAGAGTAACTGCAGGAGATTGAACGAGACATTATCTGACACCCTCACAAACTCCAAGGCCAGCTGCAGACCCGATAAGGACAAGCTTTGCTTCTCTTCGCTGTCCTGGACGAGGCCAAGACTCCCAGGAGTCATTTGTAATCCCCATGGGCCCGATCACACTGTGTTGGTTTGTGGTGTGTCTGTGCTGTCCTGTGTCACACAAGGTCACATGCAAGATTTAGCTTCAGATATTCTTTGCAAATCTTAAAAACTCTTTTTTAACCATTCTATGTAACGTCTATTGCCTTTTTCATGTTTACATGTTTACATTCATCGTGTTTGTTTTCAGTAGAAATTGAATCTGCAATTGTGGTAAACATTTTGTTTTGCCTCCGAGGAAAATAAAGATGTTTTCCCCAAAGACATCAACTTCAAACAGACACATTTCAATAAAATAAGAATAGTTTATTTTTTAATATTGTGACTGTTATAAAATCTAGTTTCTTCATGCTACTTCATGCTTTTTGTGTGGCATATGGTTTTTTATGTTTTAGATCGAGGACACTAAGGATCATAGAACATATTTCCATCATTTTGTATTAATTTTCTTCTGAGATTGAATCCATTCATTTATTTCTAAGATTGTCGTTTTCAATCTCACATCTTCAATGTTTATTAGCAAAATTCTGATGCTGCATTTCATTCAGTAAAGTCCAGGACAGCACTTTCTCATTGGACTGAGTGCAGCTGAATGTACATTTTATGCAATTTCCAATCATTCTTATAATTTTTCAAGATGTTGAGCAGCTGTTTGTAGCATCCTATTGATCAGATGTTATCTGAATTGTCTTGAATTATTTGTCCTTAAATAACAAGTTTAAAGCGCTTAAAATGGAATGAATGTGCAGGAGCTTGGTAAGTTTTGGCAAGGCTTTATTTTGTTAAATAGGTTGTAGATTACCAAATTGGGACACAATTGACATAACTGAAAGGAAGATCTAACAACATATAAATGGCTTTTTAGATTGTATTTATAATTTTTTTAATTTAATAAAATTATAAAACAAACATTTCAATTACATTTTATATTGCTTATTGTGAAAAATGTTAAGATTGTTCTAAAATATCCTTTAATTTAATTAAATGCAAAAAGTTGTGCAATTATCTAAATATTTTTAGGAGAAAAACCCATTAACCTGTAAGGTGTTTATATGTGCCAAATTATTTGTGCCAAATGTGGAGTCGGATGCTCGGTGAATAGTTGTTTTTGCCAATTTTCTGTCGGTAACAAGCTCCAAGTTTCTGCTGCAGCCTTTTTTATGTTTTAGCTCTTGTTGACAAAACGTAGAACAGCAGACATCCACTAGTGCAGTAGCTCAAATTCTGGTGTGTGTGTGTGTGTGTGTGTGTGTGTGTGTGTGTGTGTGTGTGTGTGTGTGTGTGTGTGTGTGTGTGTGTGTGTGTGTGTGTGTGTGTGTGTGTGTGTGTGTGTGTGTGTGTGTGTACGCGCATGCTTGTGTTGGATGTGTGAGGATGGAGTTACAAGTCTGGATGTTTATTTTTCAAAGGACCTGATTAATGAAAGGACACGCTTTAGCTGTCAGAGCCTAAAAAGAAAATAAGATCATTAATGTTTTCTCCTTCCTCCTCCCATAAACACGTTTTTGTGGGGTTGCTATAGCGTCTTTAAACTGGATCTAACCAGTTAAGTAGCGAGCTGGTTTTTATTTTCTTGTCCCAGTTTTGCTTGATCTGTTTATCATCATTTCATCTCAACTAAATCAAATAAGAGTTTCTTCCACGATTGAGTATATTTAATTTTAGTCTTGATTTGTGGCCCATTATTGGAGTTTAATGACTCACTCTGTTTTTTATAAAAACAGAAATATTCATTATTCATATTTTTCCTCCACATATTCCACTAATTCATGTGATTATTTTTCACTTCTGTGCTGTAGGAGTGTGGTTGTACCAGTGAAGAAAACCTCTCCTGGCAGTTTACCAGTTACAACACTGGGAACCAGCAGCAGTACCACCTACCCTGGACTTACATCTAGCAGCACCCCTAACCTCTTAGCCGCTGCCTCTGCGACTCCCAAAAGCATGATCAACACAACCGGTAGGTCCCTCGGAAGACAGGGCCAGAAATCAAACCTGAATTTATTTTTAAGACCATGAAGTAAAAACACTTTATTTATCCATAATTGATCCATTTCCTTTTTCCTTACATTCGAGAATAAAAACATGACTTTGGATCAAATGCCTGTTGTGGTTTACACCACTAGATGGCTCTCTTTACTCTCTCATCATCACCAACTGAAAAGACAATGCCCAACAAACATTACTATTCCTCCTGTTGCCTTAATTAGAGTGTCTTAGGAATTTTCTGTAAAGCAGGCACTTTAGAACAGTGAGAATGAATTTACACACCTGGTTTTCATTGGTAAAGGACGCTCGCATCTGCTTGTTTTTACGTTTCTGGTCCTGCTGAATTGAAGCAGTTTCACCTCGGGATTTTAGCAGGTTGGGCGTCTAAAGTGAGCCACTTATCACTATTAGTGCAGTCAATGAGCTGTTTTTTAAGACGGTTTTCCTCTCTGAAACCCAAAAGTTAGTCAGCATCTTATTTCCTATTAATGCATTTTATTTGCCCTCACATTTATGCAGTTTCATAAAATGTAGTCACCAAATGTATCAAAAATTTACTATTAGATTTAACATTTTAAAGTAATGTAGCAATATTAAATATTCTGAATGTTTCCGTATCCAACAGGTTAACATTTATCCTATAATAGTAGAACACGTTGTAGGAACCTCTCTGCCCTTCATAAATATTAAATGCCTTTCTGCAGGAGCTGCTGAAGCATCCTCAGCCTCTTCATCGTCTTCGTCCAGTTTGGTCAACGGAGCTACGAGCAAAAATCTTCCAGCCGTGCAAACGGTGGCCCCCATGCCTGAGGACACAGTAGAGAATATGAGGTACAGTATCGCTGTTCAGCCATGGAGAAGTAAATATTTCAAATGCATTCCACTTTAGATTTAATAAAATTTTTGTGTTTAATTTAAACTTACTCCCTTATTTAACATAAAAGTGTAGAAAGTGGCATCCATAGTCTCATTTTATCTCATTTAACTTAGTTTTTCTCTCAAAACTAAATATTACAAATGAAAAACAGATGATTATGTAAATAGAAAACAAATTTTGGCTTGTTTCTGTCTACATGCGTATGAATCTGTGTTTAACTGGTTGTGACCTTGCAGCATCCAGACTTGCTGTAATAGTTTGTGTCAGACATCGGTGCTCTGCTCCCTCGCTGCCTGCTGAAAGCATCCAGGTCTTTCTCCAAAGTCTCTCCTCCTCCTTGCCTGAGTACGCTGTGCCAGATGAATAGAGATCCGGTTGCCATGGAAGCAGTAACTGACATCACTTAGCGAAACTCTGAATTCGATGATGGCACTATCTGGCTACAGAATTAGTAAAAAAAAAAAAAACTTAAGATGAAAACATCCAATGAAACAACAAAGAAATATGATTGTATTGATCTGTTTTCACTTTCCTGAAGCTTGTTTTTTGTTTCTGCATTCAATCCGTCTTTCTCTAAAGTAGATTGACACTTCCTGAGATCCAAACCTTTAGTTTTCTGACAGGAAAACAGGCAGCCTTTAGGGATTTAGCCCTGCATCTTTGAAGAGGACATCTAGTGTACTAACTTAGACTTCCCCATTGTCTTATATTCTAGTCTAGAAGGCATATTTAGTTGGTTTTGTTTACTTTTCATGTTGGATGGCAGATTACACCACACATTCACACAAATCCCACACTAAAGCTTCCCGTCTTGTCTCTATCTTTTTCTATCCTTGTTTTCTGCCCATCTCAGCAAAGAAAACAAGCCTCGCGTTGCCATTTTTTTGTGAGTGTACACAAAAAAGCGTGGCGGAATATCACGTCTCTTTCTCTCATCAGCCTCGATGGAAGGAGTCCACGACTCCAGGTCAAAGATTTTCTATGAAGTGCTTAGATAATGTCAGGCTGAGGCGAGTTTGTGTAAAATGAGGACTATCATGGTCTCACGTGCAGCCCTAGTCACTAATCCTACTAAAGCATTCAAACAATGAGTTTTATGTGTTCTCACAACACATCTTGTGGACATGTCTGGGAATGGCAACCACAATGGTGATTTCTGGCTTGGTTTGCATCCTCTGAAATGAGTGGGTTACCTTCAGCACCCGCCGCAGCTCTGACAGCACGGCTATGGACTAACCGCTGTCAGATGTGTGCACTTTGTTGATTGTGGAAGTATCTTTTTTCAGCCTAACCTCTGATGTAAGGGTACGGCTTTACCTCCGTTCAGTTGGCGTGTCTTTGTTCTGTTTGATGTGCTCTGTGTGACAGCATTACCACGAAGCTGGAAAGGGCCTTGGAGAAAGTGGCACCCCTGCTGAGAGAGATCTTTGTGGACTTTGCACCTTTTCTGTCACGAACCCTGCTGGGCAGCCACGGGCAAGAGTTACTAATAGAAGGTATAGATTTTGTTTTGTGTATTTTATACAGTGTGCAACATATTATGCTGGCTTCACCAATGATGGATGCCCTTTCAGCAGAAGGTGTGGACTAGAAAGTCATGCACAAGCTGGGAATCTGTCAGCGTTTGATTAAGTCTGTTTTCCTTTTCATTCATCTTTAACGGTTTTTGGCGTGTGTTATTTTTTTCTTCATGACTCACTTCACATATTAATTATTAATGTTTTTTTTAACCAGTCACAATATCATTCTAAACAAAACTCATTAATCTGGGGTCTTTCTCTGTTGGGAATACATGTATTTTGGTACATTTGAGTGTAAAAGTGTGCCAGACCTGCATTTTTGAGTCTAACAAACCATTTTCTTGAAAATGAGTGGTCACATGTAAAACATAAACACATCACTGGTTCTATGAGACCTTGTTTAATAGTTCAGTATGCTCTCAGGAACAATGGTTCTTAAAAATGTGTGCATAAATAGTTGTGCAAAGCCTGAAGTTTTAGACTTTTTACATGCTGTTAGATTACAGCTTTAATGATTTCATGCAATGTTATGCACATCGACTTCCTGCATGTCAGACAGCTGTGTTGACTGTCTGGGATGTACACTGTTTGTAGAACTATGTAATTTGTTTGCAGCACTCCTTTCAGATCTGATCATAGATGTCTCTAAACTGTCTGAAGGTTCGCTCTGCCCTCCCACATCAGGTTGGCGGCGTCTCAAGGAGTCCATGTCTGTTTTCCTGATCACTGGCACACCATGCACCCAGACATTCTTTAGCTTACTTTCACAAGAGCACACTATATCAGTGCTGTCAGTATGCACTCATGTGCCATACTGTGTGTGTGTGTGTGTGCGTGCGCGCGCACGCACGTGCACATAAATGTGTGGCCTTTTGTCTTTTAACTTGAAAGCCACATACATTTTTTTCTTTTGTTCCTCAGTGTGAAACTTAATCTTTTAACCCTTCAGTGTACACACCAAGTAAGAGCAATAACACATTTGAGCCAATAGGGTGTAAAACAAATTGGATGGTAATAACGGAACTTTATGAATTAAGGTAATGATGGTTATGGAACCACTCATGAATATTTTCAAATTTACTTACATTTTCTTTTACTTGTTTTCTATTTTCAAAGTTTAGTCCTTGTTTTAGAAACAGAGTTTTCCTGCAAGAGTGCACCACCTAGAGGCAAAAAAATGCATTGCACCTTTAAGCCCATCTCCCTTCCTCCGTGGTACAGCTGGAAGCAATGCCCCTAATTTACAGTACAGGCCAAATGTTTGGACGCACCTTCACATTCAATGTGTTTTCTTTATTTCCATGAACATTTTCAAAGGGACCAACAAGTACTAAACACCTCTGGGAACTCCTTCAAGACTGTTGGAAAATTTTAATTAATTTCAAGTGACTACCTCTTGAAGCTCATCAAGAGAATGCCAATAGTGTGCAAAGCAGTAATCAGAGCAAAGGGTGGCTATTTTGAATAAAATAGAATACAAAACATGTTTTCAGTTATTTCACCTTTTGGTTAAGTACATAACTCCACATGTGTTCATTCATAGTTTTGATGCCTTCAGTGAGAATCTACAAATGTAAATGGTCATGAAAATAAAGAAAACACATTGAATGAGACAGGTGTGTCCAAACTTTGGCCTGTAGTGTGTGTGTGTGTGTGTGTGTGTGTGTGTGTGTGTGTGTGTGTATACATACTTTTTTAAAAGACTTCATTGTCCATAAAAATTATCGCAAACTGCATCTATTCAATGCAAGCTCTTTGCCAATCATTAAGGCGCTTTTTGTAAGTTTGGTCTGTGGGCTTTTCTGTACTTCTGTCTTCAAGTAAAATCAGGCTTCAGAGGTGGTTGTAGCTGCTCTTTGTAGTTTTGTAGACAGACTATAGATTTCAAAAAAGGTTTTACATAATTCCTGAAAGGGTGCAAACTCAGAGTTGATGCTTTAAAAGTTTTCTAGGGGATGTTGCTGAATTTCAAGAAAGAACCGCCCTCTCCACGTTTAAAAAATGCATTGTCTGTTTGATAAATGGCCTGTATTTGATATAGCACCTTCTAGAGTCCTGGAACCCCCCCAAGGCATTTTACAACACAAGCAGTCCTTCACCCTTTCACACACACATTCACACTCTGGTGGGGATGAGCTGCAATGAAGCCACAGCTGCCCTGGGGCACACTGACAGAGGCGAGGCTGTTGAGCACTGGTGCCACCGGCCCCTCCGACCACCACCAGGAGGCAATGGGGGTTAAGTGTCTTGCCCAAAGACACAACAACAGCGACAAACTGAGCGGGGCTTGTACCTGCAACCTTCCGATTATGGGACGAGCACTTAATGCCTGTGTCACTGTCACCCACGACAGCCACTTTGTTTGCGAGTGGCTGCCGGCCTTGCAGTGCTTCTTCTAGCAGTAATCTGAAATGAATTTCTCCGAATAGCAAATTTGACCTTACCTGTTGAGCAGAAAACCAATGACAGAAGCGTCTGTGGGGAGCTCTTTCTTCGCTTTCAGCGCACACCATCGTTGGAAAAAGTCCCCTACAAAACCTTTGATCTGATTTCTCTCTTCGGAGGCCTTTCTCTTCTTATTGTAGACTTTAAATACACCTTTTCTCTTCTGACTCAGACATTTTCAAAAGACCCCAGTGAGAACAGCGAGGAATGAAGGTGTATCGCTCTACACATACACAGAATGCGCATATTCGGGAAGTGAAAACGAACCCAGGAATGAGCATATTCGACAGCCTTGTACAAAAGCTTCACCAGAATGATTGACAGTTATGTGGACCAATGGTTGAGATGATCCACCGGAAGAACAATATCCCCCGCTATACCTTTAATGAGATTAAGGAAAAACAGGGCTGCACTGCTGCTGTCAGAAATCGTTACAACAGGCTCAAATATCAACCCTGCCTTATGCCATTATTGCTGTTTTTTTATTATTTAAAGGGGCATTATGGAAGTTTGACAGCCAAAAACATGTATAGAAATAATAAATGTCTCCTTCATACATTCTCCTGCAATGCCCTGGTCCTGTAGAATGAGTCCTGGCATTTTTACTGTGATTGCCTGTTTTTCTGTAAAATCACAGAAAAAGAGAGCTGCTCGGGTCGAGCAGGATGCTTCATGCGCGTTCACGCTCAGGCACAGCCCTCCGAACCGTTCTTTGAACGTTATTTCAGCTGTCATCAAGCATATAAATGTTACAGATACAGGAAACACCACTGGTGCTTTAGCTCGCCTAGTAAGGCTTTGAGCTTTTGTGCAGAAGACCTGGGTTTGATTCTGGATGTGAACATAGTTGTTTTAGAGTTTCTCTTTTACATTAATGATATGTTTTTTTTACAGTAAGATTCCCAAATTTTTATTTGAGACTCGCCAAACTGCATTGAATTCACAAATAAAAAAGATGTGGGTTCAACTTTCATTTTGGAACAACTTTTCAAGAGCATGCAGGAGGACTGACCCATCTTAAACCTTTGTCGGCTGTGCTGAAGAGAAAGGTACTGAACCAAATTATTTAATTAATTAGCTGCACGTTCTCCTGTCCTCTGTCCTCCGCCCCCCCCCCCCCCCCCCCCCCCCCCCCACACACACACACACGGGACTGTCTCAGCTGTTATTTTCGTTAAGGAGTGTGCACGTACAGCATGCGCGCCTCGTGCACGAGCCTCCTATTGAAGCTGCCGTTACGCTTTTGGCCTGAGGGGGCAATCGCAAGCATAAAATTTCAAAACTCCATAAAGTCCCTTTAACTTGTTTGAACCATTTCTGTTAAAATGACTGAAATGCGTGATTTAAATATTTAATTTTACTGTGCAATCAGGCCTTTTTCTTTTGTAGGACATGCTTGTATCTTACATTTGTAAGAAAAAATGTGAGGATGCCTTACATGTGGCTGAGGCTGCTTGCTCAATGTCAAGAAAAAAAACTGGTAGCATAGTCTTGACAAGTGTGAATATGTCTGCTACCCTTTCACTCAAGGTCTGTCAGCAGACTGACCAAGGTGACAAACCAAAGTTGATCTTGGGCTGCAGACTGTAACCCCACAAACAAGGTCGTAGATAGACAGCTGGATCCTCCATGCTCCTCCCCAGACATGTTTAACCCTGCCGGGGCCATACTGTGGACTCCATAGATCATCTTGAAGCATCAACCACTTTCTCAGAGATATTTAGCTTGAAGCCACCTCAGTTGCCAGTTTGTTTGTGCTGGAGTTAATTTTGCTCTCCCCTCTGTTCCTCTCTCTACTTTTCTTACCAGCCCTTCCCAGGAACACAGTTGAAATACTGTGCTGTAGTGCAAAGGCGCTCCATTTACCAGTAATTACCAGTCATCCATCACCCCTTTGATTGCCTTGGGTCAAGCCCTCCTGTGCCCCACATGCCCCTTTCCCTCACCCTGTTACTTCACCCCCTTTTCAGATATGTGGTCACTGCAGCAATTATGCTGCGTGCTCTCCCAGCTTCACGCTTGCAGTGGGTGGGTAAGGGCCATACACGAACACTGCTGCTGTTGTGACGCCTGCCGCCTGCTTCTTGCTGTCCCCTGAGTGGCCCAGCCTGCCGCCACATCACCCCACAATGCCACATTCACCCGTGGCTCAACCCTGCCCTGTTTAAATAGAATGCATTTAGTTTGTCTACAAGCACAAGGCCAGGGTCAGTTGGCCACCTGACTTCTGTGTCACACTGGACTGACTTATAACTCACATGTCAGTGCTATAACATGAGGTCAACTGCAGCGCTCTGCGTTCAACAGAAGGGTCACATCCTCTCTGAGTATTTACAAGACGTTCCTTTTGACGTTCTCTGCTCATAAACAGAAAATGAGTGGAGAAGTGGTAAAATTATCCATCTGCTTAAAGAATGGAATGTTTTTGTGCATTGTGTTTCAAGGTTTAAGGATTCCACCAAAGGTTTGCTATATGTTGGAGTTGTTTTACCTTTATAGGCTACAGAGAGTTCATTTATACAAAACTAACAGCTTTCACATTTAAAGTGTAATTATGGTTATTGTCTCTCAAAATTTGTAACTAATTCAAACATAAATATAAAAAAATTGGTTTCATTGTGGAGCTGTTTTTTAATGATCAGTAATTGTAGAAAAATCAAATTATGTTGTTATCTCCACTGATTGACTCCAAGTCCTTTCTAAACAAAAGCAGGTGTGTGGCGTTAAGTTTTACTCTGCCTAGCCTGTAATTAGTCCTAGAGAGTTGCTTTCTCTGCTGATTGCACCTCTGGTGATTCTCACCAGGTGCAGCAGAAAGGTGCAGAATATAAAACCAGTTGCAAGCTCTGTTTCTACAAATGAGCTTTTCACACCTGCCTATGTTTCATTAGAGGGTTGTCTGCTCCAGTGGCTCACAGCCTGCAGAATGAAGGCTGGAGAAGAAGCTGTGAAGCTCGTCTGAGAATGTGTGAATTTAGACACGTGGATGTGATCACGTGAGGTGTTCTCATCTGTTACAGATGTTTTTCTTTTTTTTAATGTAATAGCAACCCTGGTTTATAAGTAAAATGGGTTTGTCTGAAATTGATCTTATCTCAAAGTAAAATATTGTATACCAGCGCTGCGTTTTATATGTGGTTCATCTTTAAGGTGTCATCTTTAGTTCCAGCTTCATAAATGATAGATTAAGTAGTGATTATACTCACATAGATTCTTTGTTTTCCTCACATAGGCTTACACACACAGCTGACGTCTACTCCTTTCATCTTCTGTCTCAATAGGTCTCGTTTGTATGAAGTCAAGCACCTCAGTGGTGGAGCTTGTCATGCTGCTTTGTTCTCAGGTGAGTCTGTTTTTTCTCCTCTTCTTCTAAGTCCCCTTCTCTAGCTTAACTCCCGTTTTTTCCCAGTTTTAGTTGCAGCCCTCTGACAATCCAGTCACTTTCTCACTACACCCTGCAGCACTAATCCCAATCACTCCTTTTGAGAACAAACCCCACCTCACGTCCCTTCTAGTGACTGATCACCTCTGAGCTGACCCTCTGAATCCCTTGTTAAGTCTGTGTTTTAGAGAAGGTCAGAGCCCTGATGTAGCAGTTAGAACAGGAGATATTTAACATACCTTCTGTCAGCCCATCAGTCTTGCGTCAGGAGTCCATAAGGAAGCCATTACTTGGTGCCTCTCTGTGGATCCAGACTGCAGGGCCAGAGACTTGTCCTTATGTGTGCTCTACGGTATCCGCTATCCAAAGCACTCATCAGCAGGGAGCTCAGTCTGTTTTATATGGAGGCCATTATTCAGAACTTTCTTAGAAAAAAAAAAAGAAAAAAATACTGCACTATGTTTTTGTTGCTCTTTTGGAGTTTTTTATGTGCTACTTTTTGTGCTGCTGTTCAGCCTGTAGAGTGTCTATGGGAAGTTGTCTTTTCTAACTCTGGGCTTTATTGCAGATGAGAGCATCAGCATGCTGTTAAAGGTCTGAGTCTACACCCCCCACCCCATCCACCTTTACATAGATAGCATTACTAAGGCTCCAGAGGTTCCTGCCATTAGGGGCTCAGGGGATGAAACCCAGGCTGAGATATTGATCAGACCATGAGACCTTGAAGCTGGCTTTGAGTGTAAAGCCTCTCAAATAGAGATGAGCCATTATTCTTCCTCCTAACTCTCTATCTGTAATCAATCTTCTTACATAGCTAATATGATTTAAAATGCTATAATGCTTTATCATTTATTTTACCTATTTTTTTTAGGTGTCTGTCGACTTCATATCAGCTCCAAAGTCCACCTTTCTCTAGAAAAGACATTAAATATATCTTGTTTTGTGATTCTGTGTAGCTTGTAGGATGTATGGATTCATCTTCAAAAAATAAAAATTTGGGACTTTTTATTACATGAGAAATTTTAGATGTTCACTGAAGAACATATATGTATGTATATAGATCTGTAACTTAATGCTTCTTTCTGTGTAAATTGTTTTCTTTTTCTATTTTTTTCTCAAATTCATGGATTGAGATTTTGTCGGCCAACAGGTCCAGGAACTATATTGTTCAATTTCCTTAAGAATCATATGATTATTTCATTTGTATTAATGCTATTTTAGTTAAAAGGGGCAGACAACATAAGTTTTTCTTCTTTCTGTCCCCTTTTTCATTTTGGCTTGCAGCAATTTAGTTCTGATTGTATTTTTATTTTAATGTCAATAAATGAAAATAAAAGATTAAAAAAAAAAAGAAACTTGCATTTTGACATTAAAATATCTATTTGACAAACAAATGTGTAACACAATTAGATAAATAGTATTTTCTATTAAATTGCAGAGTAGATTCTGAGTACTGAAGTGAGAAGCGGCTCTTCTGAGTCCCTCCCAGATTTCAGAGCTTCTCAGCTTACAGCAGCCAAGGGGAGGGCTTGTTTTGTTAAAGTAACAGAGCCCTGAAATGACTCATTCTGGAAAATACTGAAAATAAAACTGCTGAAATATCTTTATGTAAGAAGGATTTAGTATGAAGAACATCATGAACTAGTTTGGTATTGACTATTGACCCTTTGCACCGACGTCACCTAATCACGTGGGTCCACCATGCTGGATGGCAAAAGCATGTAAACAGTGAGCGACACGAGTACTAAACAAAGGGAAAAGAAGAGCCTGAAAATGTTTTTGCGATCAAAACCAAAACAAAATTCCTCCAGCGTTCCTTCAACTAGTTCATGCCCAGTTCAGTTATCAGAAGAAGTAGCGCATCTAGCGGGGGGCTCATAGAGAGCGGTATGTTAACTAGCTTACCAACGTTAGCTTATGCTCTCTCTGCAGCTGTTCACCGATGTACACAAGTTGCTGACTTTGCCTAAATTCACCCCGCTGGATTTATAACTTTATGTTATAAACAGCGTTTCACTTTACACCAAAGCTGATTTTTAGTAAGTCCGTATCCCTACCAGCTTCTGTTGCTGGTGGTGTTACCGGGTTCAGCGGCTGCTCTCACACCGGAATGAGAAGATCTCAGGACGCCGACACTCATATAAATAAATAGCGTCATTTTAACACACATAATCATACATCGGAGCTTTAATATTGTTAATAATTATCTCGCTTTACAATACAGTGAACGGCCCGCATCCTACGTGGTGAAATACCCATCCATCAGGATAATCAATAACTAGTATAAACACATCACATCTATCCCTGTCCCCATCTTCGTTGTGAAATAAATGAACGTTAATCTTACCCGGTAAAAACATGTTCGCAGCAAATCTGAGGCCCGCTAGTCCGCTTGATTGATCGCTGCAGTTCATCTCCGTCCTCAGTCTCCATCAAAGTTATTACAAAAAACAAAACGAGTTGAGTTTACACCCTTGTCTGTTAGTGCAGCCAACCACGCAGCAAGCTAAAACCATTTTACTGTCAAATCAACTAAATAAAAGCGATAAAAACTGGCTTGTTTTGACTAGCTTCACTGGAGTTTCAACAGGTGTAAACGGTCTTTTTGCCGTCCATCATGGTGAAGGGGGCGGTCACATGAGAGGCGTGATGTCACGTGCAAAGGGTCAATAGAACTGTTGTGACTTAAGAAAAAAAGTTGTATGCCTCTTTATTTGTACGTCATTTTAAATACAACCGCTCGTTGCCATTGACAAATATGGATGGAAAAAGCTAGAAACACGCTGATTATTCCTGATGTAAGAAGTGAGTCTACTCTTTCTTTTGGTAACTTTGGTGTATTTTTTATTTGTATTAATAATATTGTTGTTGCTATTATTATCATTATTACTTTGTACTTTCTATGTGGGCAATGACAGCTTGACCTGGAGGGGTGTGATTGGGAGGAACGGCCCACCTAATCTGAACTCGAGCGGTGTTTTGTTATTGGACTTCTGTGCAAGCCGCAGTTTGGCCATAACGAACACCATGTTCGAACATAAGGATGCCCACCGGTACACTTGGTACCAGGGCAGCCTAGGTCACAGGTCGATGATAGATTTTGTAGTCGTATCATCTGACCTGCGGCCGTATGTTTTGGACACCCGAGTGAAGAGAGGGGCGGAGCTGTCAACTGATCACCACCTGGTGGTGAGTTGGATCAGATGGCAAGGGAACATGCCGCGTAGACCTGGCAGACCCAAACGCATAGTGAGGGTCTGCTGGGAACGCCTGGCAGAAGAACCTGTCAAGACGGTCTTCAACTCCCACCTCCGGCAGAGCTTTGACCACGTCCCGAGAGCAGTGGGGGACATTGAGTCCGAGTGGGCCTTGTTCCACTCTGCGATTGTCGAGGCGGCTGTTGCTAGCTGTGGCCGTAAGGTGGCCGGTGCCAGTCGTGGTGGCAACCCCCGTACCCGCTGGTGGACACCAGAGGTTCGGGGAGCCGTCAGGCTGAAGAAGGAGGCCTACAGGGCGTGGCTGGTCTGTGGGTCTCCGGAGGCAGCAGACAGGTACCGGACAGCCAAGCGGGGTGCAGCAGTGGCAGTTGCCGAGGCAAAATCTCGGGCGTGGGAGGAGTTTGGTGAGGCCATGGAGAAAGACTATCGATCGGCTCCAAAGAGGTTCTGGCAAACTGTCCGGCGCCTCAGGAGAGGAAGGCAGCAACTCGCTCACACTGTTTACAGTGGGGATGGGGAGCTGCTGACGTCAACTGAGGCTATAGTCGGACGGTGGAAGGAATACTTTGAGGAGCTCCTCAATCCCACCAATGCGCATTCCGAGGAGGAACCAGAGCTGGGAGGCCTGGGGATGGACTGTCCGATCTCGGGGGCAGAAGTTGCTGAGGTAGTCAAACAACTACACAGCGGCGGAGCCCCGGGGGCGGATGAGGTTCGTCCTGGGTATCTCAAGGCTATGGATGTTGTAGGGCTGTCATGGTTGACACGTCTCTACAACATTGCGTGGTCATCGGGGGCAGTTCCTAGGGAGTGGCAGACCGGGGTGGTGGTCCCCATCTTTAAGAAGGGTGACCTGAGGGTGTGTTCCAACTATAGGGGGATCACACTCCTCAGCCTCCCTGGAAAGGTCTACGCCAAGGTACTGGAGAGGAGGGTCCGATCGATAGTTGAATCTCAGATAGAGGAGGAGCAATGTGGTTTTCGTCCTGGCCGTGGAACTGTGGACCAGCTCTATACCCTTGCAAGGGTGATGGAGGGGGCATGGGAGTTTGCCCAACCAATCCACATGTGTTTTGTGGATTTGGAGAAGGCTTATGACCGTGTCCCCAGGGGCACCCTGTGGGGGACGCTCCAGGAGTATGGGGTGGGTGGCTTTCTGTTAAGGGCCATTCAGTCCCTTTACCAGAGGAGCGTGAGTTTGGTCCGCATAGCCGGTAGTAAGTCGGACCTGTTCCCAGTGAGGGTTGGACTCCGCCAGGGCTGCCCTTTGTCACCGGTTCTGTTCATCACTTTTATGGACAGAATTTCTAGACGCAGCCGTGGTGTGGAGTGTGTCGAGTTTGGTGGCAGGAGAATCTCGTCTCTGCTTTTTGCGGATGATGTGGTCCTCCTAGCTTCATCCAGCTCTGACCTTCAGCTCTTGCTGGGTAGGTTCGCGGCCGAATGTGAAGCGGCTGGGATGAGGATCAGCACCTCCAAATCTGAGACCATGGTTCTCGACCGGAAAAGGGTGGCTTGCCACCTCCGGGTCGGGGGAGAGGTCCTACCTCAAGTGGAGGAGTTTAAGTATCTCGGGGTCTTGTTCACGAGTGAGGGTAGGAGGGATCGGGAGATCGACAGGCGGATTGGTTCGGCGTCTGCAGTGATGCGGACGCTGAGCCGATCTGTCGTGGGGAAGAGGGAGCTGAGCCAGAAAGCCAGGCTCTCGATTTACCGGTCGATCTACGTCCCAATCCTCACCTATGGTCATGAGCTTTGGGTAATGACCGAAAGAACGAGATCGCGGATACAAGCGGCCGAAATGAGTTTCCTCCGTAGGGTGGCCGGGCTCAGCCTTAGAGATAGGGTGAGGAGCTCGGACATTCGGGAGGGACTCGGAGTAGAACCGCTGCTCCTCCGGATCGAAAGGAGCCAGTTGAGGTGGTTTGGGCATCTGGTCAGGATGCCTCCTGGACGCCTCCCCGGGGAGGTGTTTCGGGCATGTCCTGCCGGCAGAAGGCCCCCGGGTCGACCCAGGACACGTTGGAGAGGTTACATCTCCAATCTGGTCCGGGAACGCCTTGGGGTCCTGCCGGAGGAGCTGGTGGACAAGGCCGGGGAGAGGACGGCCTGGAGCTCCCTAGTTGGGATGCTGCCCCCGCGACCCGGACCCGGATAAGCGGAGGAAGACGAGACGAGACGAGACTTTGTACTTGTTCAGTCGGCGGCAGAGTATGGAGTCCAGTTTACTGGCTTAGGTGCAAGTATAACATCAGCTCTCTGCTGACTGTTGTGCATGAAAGTTTTATTAGCTATAGCTTCACCTTGGAAAGTCGTGCATTAATGCAGCTTGTTATCTTTCTTGTGATCTTTTTCCATCTAATTTATTTTGTCAAGTTCAGATCTTGCATTTGTTTCAATTATCTTTCAATGTACTCTTTAATTTTGTGAAGCATCTCTGCTTAGTTGTACAGCAAATTGTCTATAAAGAAGGCTGACATCACCCACGACACTCCGACTTTGACGCTTTCCGTACACATTTCAGCTTTAATGTTTTAAGACAGCCAGGAGGGCATTTAGCTGACCTTTTGTCCCCTTCTGTTTTGCGAACTGTCAGTTTTATGAATAAATTAGTGCTAATGATCTGACTTTTCTTATTTATGCATACTAATCACAGCAATCACTGTGCGGCCGGGCTCGGCTGCAGACACTGTGCGTCTTTCCTCAGCTTGGCCAGCTGAATGAAAAGGTCAAGCAGCTCTGTTTCTTGTAACAGCTTAAACATATATGGGGGTGGATCCAGAGTGGAGCCACAGAAATTTACTGATGGAAGGCCTCCAGATGTGGAGGGTATAACCGAGTAAAGCCGAGCAGATAAAAGCGAAAGGCTCTCGCAAACTGACAGGTTGGACTGAAAGACCACAAATACTTAGTGTCCTGCTGAATTTCAGGGAGATGAAAGTAGAGGTAGAGTGGTACATCTGAAGACCAGAACGTCATTCACTGGGATGGGCAATTTAAGGTTTTAGGTAGTCTTTTTTTTTAAGCTACAGTAAAGAATTTTAACCCCTGTAAGATTCATGTTATTATTAATTATTTAGTCATTTTCTCTTTAGCATATAAGTTACTCACCGAAAGTTCTAAAAAATATAGCTTTAAAGTGTGGTTTTTACATTCAACATACTAAATAAGCTTCATAGACAAAGGTGCTGTGTGCCGGCCATGGTTTGCATTTACATCAAGAATCACATCTTCTCAGGTTGGTGCACGTCAGGCCTGATTCCCTTCAAATGGGTAGCAGAGCGCTTAAAAAAAATCCCAACTATCAAAGGAAGTCTCCACTGGGAGTGAAAAAAAAATACAAAAGTAGAAAGCCTCTGAAGAGCTAGCTCAGCTGTCAACACGCGTTCCTTAGAAAAGATGGCAAACTTAACTCATTCTTGCCTCACCTCCACTGACCCCCCGCCACATTCCTGGCATTTCCCCAAGTGACACGTCTGCCCTGATTTCCGTATTTATTTTTGTCACGTGAGCTCGTGAGAGTGAAACTGTACATGATCCCTGTCCAAATCGACAACAGCCTATTTCTAGGTAGATAACTGGAGCTGAAGAAAAGAGGTCATGGAGAACATTTGGAGCCCAGATGCTCAGCAGTGTGTCAGCACCATTTCTCTGACTTAATGCATGGGGGGGGGGGGGTTGGGGTCCAGACTGAGTAGTCTTGCATGAACCGGTACGTGTCAGTCACGACAACTGTTCACAAAAGCATTTGGCCATAGATAATAATGTCTGTTATTCTGGGATGCTTACCTCGTCCAGACATATAATCTTTCACCTGGAACAAGGAAGTGTCAAATCACTGATTAATGAGCATTTCTACCAGTTTCTTGTGCAGGAATTGTGTTCATTTACATAAACTCTAGCAGCCTCTGGGTTCACAAAGCATTTTCCTTTCATTTTCCCCTTTTCTTTTGAACTGTGGCCTGCTCTGTTTTCCCTTCCATTTGCACCTCAGCGAGGTTACAGGAGAGCAGAATTTCCCACAGTGAAAGGCGCGCTCTCAAACGGCTTTTTAATCATTTCCAGAGCATGTTGTGAGACAGCAAGTGCTGGCACCCCGGCCCACGGCTCGGATCGGTTCCAGGCGCACCCTTCAGGGCTTGCTGAGCCCGCTCAGTAATCTGTCACTGTAAGGGACGGAGGAAATGGCTGTATTTAAGCCAGAGGATACAGTTTCATCCCACAATTACATCTCTTCTGTGTTTACGGATCTTTTTATGGAGGAAAAAGGACGGTCTCACATGTGGTGTAGAATTTCAGCTTTTATAGCATCATGTTTTTTTCCCCCTTTAAAGATATAACAACTAAATGCTTTCCCTACTTACTTGAATTACAACCCATGAGATGCTTTCTAAAATACAACAGAAAAATAAGGTGCATGCTGAAATCTGAATCTTTTCATGCATTTCATGAAGATGTTCAACAGCAAATATAAATGGTAATTTAGGTCCAGTTTTAACTTTTTTGGCAGACTGTTGTATTCCAGGTGCATGAAGGAACATTGTTGTAGGTCCTTCCTCCCAGCAGCTGTTACTCTATAATGACCACTCCTCCCAACAAAACCAGTAAACATTTTTTGCTCTCTTGCTGCTTTCAATGATTTGCACATTTTTTGTTTTTCTATACTTGCACTCATCTTGCACAGTTCTCCATTCACGTTCTCACTCCCTTTAATATTTTTTATTTTAACACATGTGGTAAATTCAATAAAATCTCAAGTATTTCTTGCATACCTTTTTTTTCACAGTACCGCCTTTTATTCATTATTTTTCTTTGCTCCTGTAATGAATGTGATTTCTGCTGTGACACAAGAATTCCTCTACTAAAGGATAGTGATTTTCTATTCTATTCTATTCTATTCTATTCTATAGGGAGTCTAAGTCTCCTCCCTTTCTGATCAGCTCATTGTTCCCCAGAAGAATGAAAAAATGAATGCAAGTTCATGTCACATACTTTGAGATTCATCAGCTTGTAAAACTTTGTAATAACTGTGACTACAAATCAGATGTTAGTACGTCGCATATATGACATCCCCACAGAATCTCCACTCCCCCAGTGCAGCTGCTACTTACCTCATGGTGAGGTTTATGGTGGTGTTTTTTTCATCCTAAAGGAAGGATTTGAAGTTTGTTCAACCTACAGCCATTTTTCCTCTGCTTTTCTTTGTGTCTGATTTGTAGTCCTGGACGTATTTTCACACAAAACCTAAAATAATGTTCCCCCTGTTAGAAAATAAGTGCTTTCTTGTTATCAGAATGTGTTTTTAAAATACACAAATGTCATATGTGAAATCCATGGCACAAAACAAACTGGGCTAAAAATGGCACCATTGACTTGCATTCGTTTATTTTTTTTTCGTTTTTCCGGGGACCCATGGTCCGGAAGTGGATGGGCGTGACTTAGGCCCCCTATTCTATTTTAAGGCTTGTAGAACTTTTTGTGTCAGGTTGTTTTTACAAAAAGCTGACTGTTATAATACTGACCTATTCGTGTTATTTATCCCAGCCCTATAATATTTTCATTGTTCAAGAATTTGCAGTAAATATTGAGGCTTCTGCGCTCAAACGTCTGATTCTATCATGCATCGTATTTTGTATGTTTTAGGAGTGGCAGAACTCCATCCAGAAGAACGCTGGCCTGGCTTTCATCGAACTCATCAATGAAGGAAGGTGAGGAGAAATGACACATGTGGAGAGTAACTTGCCTTTGGGATCGGAGTTTGTAGTTTTACTAAGAATAACACAGAGTGTAGGCAGTCCGTCTTGTTTTCTTTCCATGTCTCCCTCCCAGTCCCTGATTGGGTGTGGCCTGAGTTTTCAGAGCAGATCAGGAGCAGCTCAGCCTCCTTGCCCATCTGCTGACCCATCTGGCCCAAACTCTTCTCTACCCAGGCTCTGGTTGTAACTAGGGCCAGGTGTCCCCTGCTGGCGCCGGAACAAAGAGCGGCAGTCAGTGGGGCACATGGCGCTGTCCAGGGTGCTGCTGACAGACACAGTTTCAGTCTTATCCTAGTCTTTTATTTTTTCACACCTACTCAGCTCAACTAGACACATCGAGAGCTAGCGCCTTGTAAATCTGTTCACTTTACAAGGCGTGGATGACAAAATCATTGTTTCTGCTGTGTGTGCAACAACACATGCATGAATCGTGTGTGCTGTTTCTCAGCTTAATGCTGCAGCTGTTTAAATGCCAAACTGCTCTCAAACACAATAAAGATGGTGTAAATGGGTGGGGTGAGGGTTATAGATGTTAGAAGAGAGAAAATCTGTTACCTAATTTGCCATTTAAGTTAATGTGACAAGTGTGTTTTTCTGTAATTTATCAATAGTATGAATACAAATTGTTAGTTGGAAAGGTGAATTTCAACAGGTTAATGTCAACCTATATGAACACCACAATGGTAAATGCAGGAAGCAACAATCTGTGAATGATGAGGAAAAGCAATCCAATAAGAAATTGTTATGAAAGCAGATGTTTTGAGACATTTCTCAATAACGTTTGTTGTTTTTAAAGGAATCCAATTTGGGATCAATGTATCAATTCATGTGCATGCAAGGATAATCCAAACTTGTAATAGATAACTGTCTAATGTGTTTTTTGTTCCTTTTCTTGATCTTGGTACAAAGCTTCATGTTGTCTGCCTCTCTATGAACTGTTAACGAGTTCTTGTCATCAGTTAAGGAAGAGTAGCTGATGAATGCAGCCTCCAGATTACTAATTCTCTATGAGACAGAAAACAAATTTGTGATCCGCGTCAAGCACTGAAGAGGAACATTGGCTGTTTTGATTAAGACAAAGCTAGCTTAATGATCTGTAAAAAGGCACGTAATTTACACAATACCCAGGGTGCTTTCAGTTATTAAAGATACGAGAATTTAACTGGAAATGAGGGCAGAGGCCACAGAGCTTTTACAGTCCTTCAGCAGCATGGATGACGTGGATGCTCGATGCTGTATTTTAAGATGTTCATTCAGTTAGAAGAATGCAAGATAAGCTTCCGTGCTCTAATGAAACTGTTCTCTCTGAATGCTGGAGAGGGATCTGTCACCAACCTGCAGCTTTACAGCATAACACAGAATAATGATGCTCACTGATCTGCTCTTTTACGTTCACAGCAGTTCACATATTGTCCCAAACCTGTTCAGCTGTGTTATTTAAAAGGGACAAAACTCACATTTTACATTCTTATATGCTGCCATGTGGGTGTCTAATACCTGTATATACACTCCCAGCATGAAAAGTAAACCCATCCATCCATTTTCTGCCGGTGCTTAATTTTAGACGTTAAGTGCCCAAGAGCTGTTTAGAATAGAGCTACCCCTCACCAACAGGATAGTTACTGCTGGAGGAGAAGCAGCAGCTATACATTAAGTCTCTCTTGGAGATCCGAGCTTTTCAGTTAATAGCAGGAAAATTAGGAATGATGTGTCTAAAATGAGCTGTTTGAAAACATTTGTGACATCACACATGAGGGAATTATCATGGAAAACCTCCTATGTGCAAGAGAGAGCTGCTGCTGGATGAGCAGCGCCTCTACTTGGCCTGGGGGGACCAAGCAGGCTTATAAAGTGCTGGGGGAAACCCTGTGTGTGTGTGTGTGTGTGTGTGTGTGTGTGTGTGTGTGTGTGTGTGTGCGCGTGTGCGTGTGTGTGTGCATGCGCGCGTGTGTGCGTATATCTATATATATATACATATAGATAGATAGATAGATATACATACTGCATGGTGGCGCAGTGGTTAGCACTCTTGCCTCGCAGCACGAAGGTTGCAGGTTCGAAACTCTGCTGCGGCCTTTCTGCGTGGAGTTGCGTGTTCTCCCCATGCATGCGTGGGTTTCCTCTGGGTACTCCGGTTTCCCCCACAGATTACAACATGCCCTATAGGTTATCAATTGCAAGTCGCTTTGGATAAAAGCGTCTACTAAATGACTAAACATAAACATATATATATATATATATATATATATATATATATATGCATATACTTTTTTTAAAGACTCACTTGTGTATGAAAAATCTTGCCAACTTTGTGGTTGGAGGGACCGGTGGTGCCATTGCTCAGCAGCCTTGCCTCCGTCAGTGCGCCCCAGGGTAACTGTGGCTACATCGTAGCTCATAACCATCAGTGTGTGAATGTGCGTCTGAATGGATGAATGATACACTGTAGTGTAAAGTGTTTGAAGTCCTTACTCTGAAAGGCGCTATACAAGTGCGGGGTGCTTTACCGTTCATCATAGGCTCTGTGATTGACATCACTATCTAGGCTAGTGTCCAACGCTATATGCTAATGCAAAGCAGCTCTCAGTTCAAATTGCATAGGGCACTACGGGGGTGGGCTTAGTAAAAAATAAATTCCCTGAAATTGGGAATCTTTGAACTGCAGCTTTAAAGTGAGTCCTGAAATGGTTCATTCTGGCTGAAATGGATCATTCTGGAAGGTACTGAAAAGTCTCAAATAAAACTACTGGAATTGCTTAATGTGAGAGGGATTCTCTGCAAAGAACTTCATAAACATGTCTTTTATAGACTATAGAACTATTCAGAACAAAATTAATATTCCCCCTTCAATGAATTCTTGCCAATATGGACTCTCTATTTTTTGCTCAAGGTTGCTGTGCCACGCCATGAAGGACCACATTGTTCGTGTTGCCAATGAGGCTGAATTCATCCTCAACAGACAGCGAGCAGAGGACGTCCACAAACACGCAGAGTTTGAGGTATCAACTTTTATTTGATCTAGAATTAAATAATAAACTTGTCAGAAGATGTTACATTTCTTACATCGTGTCACACCAAAAGCAAAGATTTTTAGCTATTGATGGTGCTGTTCACATCACAGGGTCTGGGAAAAAAGAAGAAACCACCCATCTGTCGTGAAAATAGAATTTGTCAATCTTCTAATTAGGTCCAAACAAATCCAATTAGTGTAAAACAGCCATTCAACTCTACGTGCTCCGTAATGATGTCCTTCTGTGTCCTTATGAGGATTAACTCCCCACCCAGTTTTTCTGTAAGGGGGCATAATTACAAGAGATATCAAAGTAATATTATTTTAAGACTTTTATTTGAGCAACTCTGGGGGCTTAGCCTTCAAACAAATTATATTCTATTAAAATGAAACAATTAAATGTCTCGGTTAGGAACAAAAATAGCAAAAGCAGCAAGTTTTCCATTTAAGAGTATTTGCAAAAAGTAAAAGCAATGGTTGAATAAAAGGATTTCTTATTATAGCACACCAGAATGTGTTTGTGACACACACACACACACACACACACACACACACACACACACACACACACACACACACTGCAGCTGCCTCTGTTAACAGCTTGTACATGTGAGGAATGATGTGTTTCTTATCTGAGAGAAGCAGCCGTCCTCAAACAGCTGCTTGATCTACAGTTCTTGAGCATCCTTGACCTGCTAGATAAACTGGAAGAGACGGCTAGATATGCAGTGTCAAAGGAAGTGGGGGGTGCGAGTGTGTGTGGGAGGGGTGTACCTGGCCCTATCCGTTCTGTCTGCCAACTCCAGACAGCTCACACTTTTCCTCCTGGTCTGACATTACTTTATTACCCACTCTCCAAGATTGAAGATTCAGGAGGCAGATGAGACATTTTTACAATTAACTTGGTGTCTAGGAGAAGCCTCATGTGCTCCAAAGTGATAAATAATGTTTGATATTTGTCAGGGCGTCATGTAGTAATGCGAGGTGACAGGGAAAGATTGAGTTGTCATCTTTGTGAGGAATATGTGGAAGTATAGTATCTGACAGAATTCACATTTAAAGCAGGAAATTCAATTAACTCCCAGCTTCTGTTAGTAAATTAGATTGTGAATATTAGCAGGAGTTCCCTCAGGGTGGACTAGTGAGACAATCTTGTTTGGTGTTCATGTGCTCAGTTTCCACCTGGCACCATTGTGTTGAGCTTCAGTCAGGTGAGATTCTAACAAAATAAAGGAATATTTGTAGTTACGCAATTAAGTCTTAAAACTGTGCTTTGCTTGTTAATGTGGCTCCAGAAAATGGTCATTTTTCTACATTTTTATCACATCAAACATTAGTTGAGGGTTTTGCATTTAAATTTTAGTCTTTGTGGATCTGCATCGCTCCCAATATCATCATCCACAGCTACCTAGCTGGGAGCATCATCTGTCTGCAGGTCTGGGAATGAGCTGCCTTCATCCGCTCGCTGTGATTTACTACGCTTCTCCACGGGAGCAGGAATACATCTCTCAGCTGTCCACTAATATCTTTATGCACTCAAGTGTGGTGAATGAAGCCATAACATTCCTCAGCGTGACAAATCCTCCTTTAGAAGAGATGTGTTACACTGACTTGTTTCAAATAAAACAATCTCATCTGCTATTAGAGCCTTTCTTTAAAATCTTGTCGACGTTTTCTCTTCTCTCCAATTTAGTCCAATTGTGCCCAATATGCAGCTGATAAGAAAGGAGAGGAGAAAATGTGTGACCACCTGATCAACGCTGCCAAACACAGAGATCATGTAACAGCCAATCAGCTGAAGCAGAAAATTGTCAACATACTCACCAACAAGCATGGCGCCTGGGGCAAGCCGGGCCAGAGGTAAGGCATCACCAACATGGGACATGTTGTGTCTTCAACTAGGACAAAAGTTACCTGGTCACAATATTCTCTCATTCAGGAGACAAGACCACGTTAATGTCATTTTCCCAGGATTCAGTAGGGTCAGCAATCAGGTCAGCAAACGCAATTACAGTTCAGAGTGGTTTAATCCCTTGGGGACAGTTGATTGGCCGGTCATCCACCCTGGTTTAGAGGAAGAAGGGGGTTTACCCAGTAAGGATCACAGAGCAGCACCTGGTGGTAAAACAAGCACCAGCTCTCATTTTTTCCCAGTTTGATAGAAAAAAACCTAATTAGATAAAAAAAAAACAGGCATGAAAGACTCTTTGGATTACTGGAAGGTCATCATCCAACCTCAATGAAAATAAACCACTAATAAATAACTGTAGTGATTTATGAGTGGGATCTCCCCCCAAAGGTCAGGATCTAGAAAACAGTTGAAATGCTATTTAGCTTTTGCTAAAATAGCAGCTTTGGCTTGGTATGCACTTGTGAAGATGCAGATAACCAATATTGTTAAAGATTTTGGGTTTATTGTTCAAGGTCAAGCACAAGGCATGTGTGCAAGGTTTAAGGTTAAGATATGATTTTATTTTTAGTAAAAACATACAAAACTTGAGTATTCAGCTGGTTTCCTCCTTAGATTTCCCTTTTTTTATAATATAGATGGAAAATATGTCAAAGGGGAACTAAAGGCAGACTGTGCAAAATTCACAATAAGTATTAAGCTAATCATTTTGCTGTGAGTGAGCGAGACGCAGGATCCAAGAAGAGATATTTTAAAACTGCCTGAACCTTAACAACCCATAAAAATGTATTGGATTGAATTCAGGGCTCTTGTTCAAATATTTATGGAGCTCCTCTGAGAGGCATAGCATTTGCATTGAAACCAAAGGTTATTGAGCGTGGGTGCATTGTAAATGATACAACCAAACTTCTAACAAATTCAAATTTAATGGCAACCTGCTGGTGAAGAAAAATGATGCAATATGCTCCCGAGCTCAAGGCGGTGTTGCAGTTCAGCAGCTTATTCTTATTCACTGCTACATTAACTTTCCCATTTATGTTGCCCTTGTAAAAAATAATGCCCCTAGGCTTGCGTGTGCATGTGTGTGTGTGTGTGTGTGTGTGTGTGTGTGTGTGTGTGCGTGTGTGTGTGTGTGTGTGTGTGTGTGTGTGTGTGTGTGTGTGTGTGTGTGTGTGTGTGCGTGTGCGTGTGCGTGTGCGTGTGCGTGTGCGCGCGTGCGCGTGCGCGTGCGCGCGTGCGCGTGTGCGTGTGCGTGTGCGTGTGTGTGTGTGTGTGTGTGTGTGTGTGTGTGTGTGTGTGTGCGTGTGTGTGTGTGTGTGTGTGTGTGTGTGTGTGTGTGTGTGTGTGTGTGTGTGAAACCTTTCTCCCTGGTATTGTTTGTTTTTCACCCTCACACACAGAAATAGTTTCAACTTTAATTCTGGAGTTTAGCTTGGAGACATGCCAACAGATATTTATCATTAGGATGCGATAAATTACAAATTACGTTATTCTTAGGAACGCAGTTGACAGAAATTACTGTGACTGGTTTGTATTTGTTTTTTTTCCCGGGGTGCTTGCTGTTGTTCGAGTTAGATGGCACAAACATTAGATTAGGCTCAATTTTTGCAGGTTGCATCTCTGAGAGCTGCTTTGTTCTCATTGTGGCAAACATTAGAAAATTGTTTTGCAGTACGTCCGACAACAGCCGGCTACAAGGTAATAATCTGTACCGCGCTTGGAAACAGCTGTTCTGCAGTCATGTGATCTGAATAAAGAACAAGCAGACCCGACCCTGCGGTGGCCTGCTTGATCATACTATATGCTTGCCTGATGATGAATGTCCCCTTGTATAGGGTCAGCATAGAAAAATCAATACTCCTCAAATTGAAACAGTATAGGGTTGTATTGATCCAGTGTGCTAAATCAAAACGAGGAGACTTTGATGCATCTCTCCAAGACAGCTCCCTGCTCAGTAATGACACACTATCAATTTTAGCTTTACACTGATAAATCAAGTTGAAAATTGGATGTCAGAATTTTTTCCAGCCTGAGAGTGATTTTCTCTGCCCTCTGGTACCCTCTGCTGTTGACCTCTGAACCCTGCCAGTAGATTATAAAGTTCAGACCCGTCCGAAGTGAGAGTAGGTGTCAAGGCAAGACTGATGAGTCTGTTGAAGGCCAGAGTCGACCACTTTCTCACCTAAAGACCATACAGTGACATTCCTGTCAGTTCTGTCCCTCTGTAAATGAGTCGGCTGAGCTGTGACTTCATCCAATAAAGTACAAACAAATCAACAGGGAAACAAACACTGCGACATGGTGGAAACGGCATCACGAAAAGGTTTATTCACATTTTCTGCATTGATTCCAGGGTTACTAAATACTATAACGACAAACGTAGAAGAGGGTGAAACATTCACATAAGTTCAGGAGCATCACTGACAGAGCAGCCTCTGCAGGTCTCCAAAGCAGACTTGAACCCAACCCGACTAGTCCATTGATTGTCAACATTTCTTCTGTTTAATTACTCTTTTATAGCAAAAGAGAAAAGAAAATGGTGGCATATATTGATCTGCGGCACTGCAGTGAAACGGCCGTCTCCCGTGACTAACTACGAGTTTCATCTCTTGCACGTGATGAATGGTAACAATCTGGCCGTGGATAATAACTTTGTGATGGAATGAACCTTTTTACTCACAATGGGCCTAGAGTATTTGGTCTTGGCTGAAAGGGTTATCAATTCTACTAAAAGTGCACCCTTAGAAATGGGGGTGGGCACCTTTTAAAGGGGTCATCAAAGCTTCAAATGTCCCAGAAAACAAAGGTCAAAGTCTCAAGCTGACCTGGACAAGACGAACTTTATCCTGGTAATAAAAAGGATGTCTATCTATCTAGCTGTCTAGCTCTCTGTCTAGCTCTCTGTTTAGGTCTATATCTATCTCTATATTTCTCTATATCTATCTAGTCAGAATAATTTGTATTTATTTTTAGGATTGGGACCCTTTTAACAACTCCTTTTGGTGCTTCCGGGTCGAGTATACTCTCTCCTCACAGCTATGCTGTTCCCTCTCCCCCTCAGGGCACACTTAACCTTGTACATAGAGCTAATTATCTCTGAAAGGGGCCTCATTCACATAATAATCAATTTCAATGGGTGCTGAAATTCAGCTAGGCACTGCCCGGACGTGCCACATTTCTTGTAAAAAGATCCGGAGGAGTTCCTGTGTGGTTCCTCATCCCTCGTCTGATCACCAACGTCTGTCTTCATTACAGCAGATGACCTGGAGTTAATCGTGTTGCTGCTGTGTTGTTTCCCTTTAGTCTTTGTCCAACACCCATCCTACACTCTCTTTCTTTCTCTCTTAATCTGCAAAAGAAAAGTCACAACCAATAACTAGAAACATTTGGAGCTTGGGATCCTTTGGATTCAAGTAGTGCTGAAAGAGGTGATTGTATGAAATAGCAGAAGGGAAAAGATAAAAGTCTTTTCTATCATTTGCAGCCCCTTATTTAATGCAATCACGATGCTGACGATTCGGCACATTAACGTTAAAGGACCCACAGATACATGATCAAACCTTATGTGTTTTTATTAGGAACATTGTTATGTGTGTTTTTTTCCACTTTGCAGTGTACTTTGAACATTATAAGTTCATCACCATATGGTTGCCAGTTGCCACTTTTGATCTAATGCATTTTTGGCTGGAATTTGTTTCAATCACAGCAGTATGTTCAGGAATTTGGGGTAAAAATCCATTTAAAAAACACAATGACTGACTGTTATTTTCTAAATCTGGCATTCATTTTATTGGGGCTACAATATTGGTTCAAGAGAAGTTGGTAGCAAAATGAAAGCTTTTTAGTTTTCTCCGATTATAGTTGTGCCAATAAATCTGTTTAACCTTGTTATGACTTGTTTTGCCTTTCTTAATTAGCAGCTCCTCATAAATGCTTTTAAGGGTTGATGAGTTTGTATTTTACACAAATTCCTCTGACTTTTACGTCTGAAACTGAAAGAAAAGGCCGCTTGTTTTCAGCTCAAAAAGGCACTAAAAAAGGATGTCCTCTTGGAGCGGCTGCACGACATAAATCATGCTTCTTTGAATGGAATTGTCACTGATTACCAGCATTTATTATAATTATCCTCTACTCATGTCACCATTGGAAGATTTCAGATGGAATACAACGGTGTTTAATTAAATCAGTGTGTTCTCCTTCCTCCTGGCCACCACACAGAATCTTTCGGCGGAATAAAAGGAAATTTTTAACCATGAGAAACTCGTTTATCTTCCATTAATCCGTGTTTTGCGAGTCACATTCTTGTTAGGTGACAAGAAATGGTCACTGCAGGTTTGATGTTACTGTTGTTGTGAGATATATGTATTCGATCTGCAGTTGTGATGTTAAAGGTGAAAATATAACATATATTTTTAGATGAAAGGAGATATTATTTTTACATTTTTCTAAATAATCAAAGAACAAAGACGCCAAATAGGTCCTCTGCTGCTTTAATGTCAGAGCAGCTCTGAGGCTACATCCCCCCCAATGACACATCAACCCTCTTCAGCTGTAAAAATAAATTCTGTCTTCTTGAATGTTTTTCTTTGCTGTAAAAGTGTTATCAGTCTTGTTGATCCTTCTCTTATTTGAAATTACATTTCTCCTCCCCGTTTCGAACACAACGCCGTCTGGTGGGGGATGTTCTAACACCTCAGAAACCTCATCGCCGACTCCTCGAGGAGAGATGGTGCTTTAAATATCCATTTAGGAGGAGAGAATAGACGATAGCTGGCTCACACATTTATCCTACTACACTTAGCAAGTCTGAAAGCCTTCATAAATAATGGTGCTCCTGCTTCCTGTAGGTTATCAGTGCAGGAAAATTAGCTTTTAAAATGCGGTTTGAAATCCATTTGGGTGATTGATGGGTGAAAGGACTAATAAATTTTGCCACTTTCTAGAGGGCCAG